CTGTAAAATCTGCCTTTTGAATAGAAATAAATGTTTAAAAAAAGAAGAAGAAGAAAAGGAACCTTTAATTTATCTACACCAACAGACAAGTTCTTTTAAAAAATTAGAATCCATGTTATAGTGGAACCAATCAGCCTGATATAACAGAAGCACTGTCGATGCTTTCATTATATCAAAGCCTAAATCCATTTAATATCTACATTATAGGAATCATTATATATAAGACATTGAGGTTCTTGAGATTCTTAGCTAAAGAACTTGTTGTGGTCAAATCATTCTTAGGAACCGTAAACGACTGACATCCTATGATTGTCTAATAAGGATGTCTATGCTGTATAACTGCAATAGGCAGATTTGTTGAGGGAGGGAGGAATAGAGAGATACAGAAAGGAAGAGAGAGAATGAGTTATTCAGAACTTGGGTGATAATATACATGACGCTCCTTTTTTCTCATCTTTTACAAGTAAAGGTTCTTAATTTAACAAGCAAGATTTATAAGTTAATAATATTCTAAGATACTGTACTAATACATCCTCATTTAATGCTTCTCTTTTCACTTTATACTAGTAGCTTTATTAATTCCAACACCTAAGCCACCATTTTGTAACAGTGGTTACTGATCACTTAAAAGAACTTACTATCTATATTATTTCTCTATAAAAATTCAACATATTGACCTCAATGTGAAAATACTCTATTTTTCTTTCAGTCTTCCAAATATAATACTTGTAAGTTTATTCAAGGAGTCAGGAAAGACAGAACTAAGAAACGAAATATTATCAGTTACTAATATTTCCTGTTTTATGCTCAAGCTTGTCTTATCTTAAGCTTGTAAAGTTGCTTAATCTTTTCCGTCGTCTTAAGGAAAAGAGAGCCTGGAAAATCCTAGTCATTCCAAAGTAACTATCAGTGAGATTTTCCCATAACTATCTGGATGCAAAATGAAAACCTTAAGAAGTTGATCCAATTCTAAAACTTACTTTTCAACTTACAAAAATATGAAAAGACAAGCTATCCATATTTTCTTCTACTAACATCTGGTTTCTTGGCCAGCTTGCTAATACCTGAAAAAGGTTTTGACTTTGTTCCAGTAAATCTACATTTAAAGAACTTAAAAATGCATTTATGCACTAAACATTCTCTACATCTGACTTAGGGCCAGCAGTGGGCCTAAGACAAAAGAACCTTGCCAAGAACTTGGAAAGAAGAAGAAAATCACCTTCTAAAAGTTAAACTGTGAAACCAACATTTAATGGTTCAGGGCAAAGAAATGAAGGATCACTTCATTGGGACAAAAGAGCTTCAAGGTCAGCAAGATTTGACTATAACTGCACTAAAGATATAGAACATCACACATCCAAAGGCCATATGACTCCGTCATGGAACTGTGGAAGGAGAATTGCTAAGACGGACTTGAGCAGAATCGATTAAGGCTCAGTTCAGGGTGGAATGAGTCTAGAGCAGCAGAGTTTGGCAGCATAGACTCACCAACAAGGCATCTTCATTGTGAAAATCAATGTGTCACATCATCATCACCTGATTGCAATTAAACATTTCTCTGGACTGGCCTGCCTTATTCATGATGGAAAACTCAGTGCTAAGCACTCAGGCTAGACTGGGACAGGCAATCATCAGATGCTTTTTCAGTGACTTTGCTCCAAATATTTGCTCACAGCCTCCTGATTATAATTTGGCTCCCTACGTAATTCTGACTACAGGGAGAGAATGATCTGGTCTTGTGGATTTGAGCATTCTGGTACCCATGCCAGCTATAAAACTCATTAAAATATGTAATTTAGCATTTCAGTTTGCATACTTTGGTGTCTTATTTAAAAGGAGGGCCTTTATGTGTGCTGATGGATCAAATTTCTGAGCCACAGGACTGGCAGTCTTTCTTATATGGAAAATTCACCAAGATGATGATGATGATGATAATGATGATGATGATGGTGATGAGGATGATTAGATGATATGAGGACAGTCTTGGCCATGTGTTAAGCACCTCCACTTTTCCTCGAGTTAATTCAATCTCAGAATAATACAATAAATGTTTCTTTGTAAATATTCCTATTTTGTAAGTAAGGAATATAGACATAGAAAGCTGTGGAAACCTAATGAAAACTCAAATTTGGAAACAAAATTTGGAAATTTCAGATCTAAGTTTTTCTGATGCTAAAATTTCCTAACTCACACACACAGAAAAATACTACCCTGGAAAGTAAGAACTCTTACTCTTCTCCTGGCCATTCTCCATTTCATCAGCAGTGTGATTTGGGTCATTCCAGTCAACCTTCAACATGACTACTCATCAACACAGCACCACTGTACCAGCTTTCACATAAATACCTATAAAGAAGCAATCCACCCGTTTCTACATAAATCATATCACAAGGAAAACTGTCTACACGTGCCATTCATATAGTTGGCTACAGGATCCAAGACAGAGGCCTCCCTTTAAAATATATATAGAGAGAGCTTTTCTGCTGAATAACTCCTCAAATGTATGGAAGAAAGAGTTGGGACAGGCTGATGCCAAGAGCCAGAAATTCAATTCAGGTTACCCAACAGGGGGGAGGGACACAGGTACTTGAAGAACTATAACCTGATTCCTCCCAGGGGGTATCTTAGCTGGAAGATGGAATTGGAATCAGAGCTGGAACTCAGACCCAGGAACACTGTTATTGGATACAAGCATCCCAAGTAGGAGCTTAACCACTGTGACAAATGCCTACCCCAAAGATCCCACTTTGACTCTTCTCCTTCCTTCCTGCAACCTTGTCATACAGTTGCTATTACCATCTATCACTTGTATCCCTAGAAAAATCACTTGGGTTTTATTTTTGCTTCTACTTATTCTGGTTCCATTTTATGTCCAAACCTTGGAGACATACTCTTGATTCCTCCATGGAATTCATCAAATATAATGCTAACATTCCACTGCTTAAGACTCCTTCAGTATCATCACTCATCACACTCGAACAAGACACTCTACAGTTCTTGGAATATACCCAGTCCGCTATACTCCAGAGTGGCACATGCACCTGGCCTGAAATACACTCTCCGCCCTCTGGACCAATCTTCTCATAACACTTCCCTCCTCAGCTGCCTTGGGGCTTGCTTACATGTTATTTCCTCCAAGAATACAGGTTTAGTATATCATCTGAGGAGTCCTGCAGTTCATCCCTCATCTCACTGCACAGGAATATTTAAAAATCCAACTCAACCGCACACTGTGACCTCCCTGAAAACCAGAACACACTTGCTGAGTGAACAAGTGAACCTGAGCCTGGTGTGTACTGGTGTCAGAGTTCACTCAGCCTTTTAGAGTCCCAGCCAGTGGTGGTGAATCAGCTCTTTACTCTCCCTAGATCTCAGAACCTGCCAGTAAACCAGAGATCATGAACCTACACTTTCAAGTTGTTCTGAGATTTAAACTAAACCGTAGAACATATAAGATCCTCATCACCATTCCTGGCATATTATAAGCACTCAAATGTTGGCTTTTGTTATTTTTGGTGTCTGTCAAGACCTGGCTGAAGATATCCATGCTCTTCCCTGGCTTTGTACACATTCCCAGCCTGAAGCAGTAACTCTGCTGCTCCGTGCCTCCTGGACCCTCATGCGCAGTCACTGACCTGCAGTTTTTCTGGGGCATTGGCTCCGTAACTCCCCGTGGATAGCAAAATCTGTAAATGTTCACATCCCATCTATACAATGGCACAGTATTTGCATAAACCCCATGTATATTCTTTAAATAATCTCTAGATTGATTTGCCATATCTGATATAAAGTCAATGCTATGTAAAGGGTTCTTATAGTATATTGTTTAGGAAATGATGACAAGAAAAAATATCTGTGCATAGTTACCAAGACGCAGTTTTTAAATTTTCAGCCTATGGTAGGTTGAGTCCTTGAGTGTGGTACCCAAGGACAGAGAAAGTCAGGGACACCTTCAAACTTATTTTCTTGTACAATGAACAATGTATCTGTCCCCACTTTTTCAATATTCCTAACACTCCAACAAACACTTTTAGATGAATGATACTACCAAGATCCATTTTGTTCTAGAAACCGTTGGCACCTTTTAGGCACAGCTCCATTCTTCATGCCTTACAGCATGGCCAATGCCACATAACCCTGAAGAATTGCCAGGATAACCTCAAGAGGAACATACTTGAAAGAACTGGAGGGCTGGGGACAGGTGGTGATCCAGAATTAGAAATCAGGTCTTAAAGGGGCCACAACCAAGATGAAGGTGAGAGGGTCTCTGTTACAACAACTGTCTAAAGTCCACATTAGAAAAAATGTGGCCTACTCCCGTGTGGATTATTGTGCAGCCATTAAGAACAGGCAGGGACAACCAACAAAATGGGAAAAAAAGAGCAGATGAGGGACTTTGTCAAGTAAATAAGAATGCAGAAAAGGTATGCTTTTCGATCATGATATATGTAAAATTCACATTCAAATCAAAATGAAAACTTAAGGGAGTAAACCAAAACTTAACAGCCAGCAGTGGATGACATGTTTTGAGGGTGAACTGTTCTTGTATCAATTCCCCCACACCCTTTGTAGTTTGCCATATTCTTCTAGAATGTAAAATTGATTTCTGAAAAAAAGCATATTCTACTTATGTCCTCGCAGATGGCTTGGTAGAGACAAGAAATAGAGTCCAAGGCATGCCCTAGGCTGCAGGGGATTCCATGCGCCATTGGTCTGACTCAGCAGCACAGTGCACCCGGCCAGTCAGCAAGGGGGTGGGGGTGGCAGGGTGTGTTCCTGGCAGGTCGATCCTGCCCCTTCCCCTCTGGACATTACTGAATGCCCACCAGTGGACTCAACCACATATCGTGCAGCCCCTAAGCGACCCTCCTAGCAAAGATTATCTCTGGGAGCCAGGAGGAGGAGCCACGAGGGGCTGGCAACCTCACGAACCGGCCCCTGCCCCACAACAGGGCCCTAGGCTTCCCGCCCGGAAGGTTGCCCACCCCGCGCCGGAGTACCTCTTGCAGGGGATCAGAGCCTTCCTCTCGTCCAGCACCCGCACGCGCTGGTTAAGGCCATCGTAGGAGAGCAAAGCGCGGCTGTAATGCCCGCTGCTCTGCTGGTACACGACCTGGCGTCCCTCCCACTGCTGTGGCGCCTGGCATGGTGGCGGCGCCACCAGCGAGCCCGCCAAGGCCAGGCCGCTCAGCGCCCAGACCCACAGGCTGCTCAACAGCCAAGTGCTCAGGAGCCCCCGGACCACGAGGATAGGAGCGTGTCCGGGCATCGCGGGCTGACGCCCACCGGGAGAGCCAGCACGAACCAAAGGGGGCGCTAAGGGGCACGGGCGCAGGGTGGCTCCCGCGGGTGCACTCGGCCCTGCGCAGGGAATTGCAGTCAGTGAGAAGGGGCTTTCTGCCTCGGCGCTGGCCGCTCACTGCAGCTGCTGAGATCTGGACAGGAGGCTTGAGAATGCTCGGGTAAATCGCCTGGGAGCTACTCCTGTCTTAGCCGCACCCTACTGCTGCTTCTGTTTCACTGCTCACTGCTGCCAACAGGAAGCGCAGTGGCAGTGGTGCCACTAGCATCCTAAAGGGCACTGTGGTTGAAGAGGGTGGGAGCATACCAAGCAAAAAGACCTTTCTCTGCGGACCATACATCTTGTTCCACAGATGTTCCCCTCCCCTCCTATCCCTAATCCTGGGGTTAACCCTAATCCCCTCCTGATGTCAAGACCAAGCCCTGGAAAACAGAGCAACTTGCTGCACCTGCTGGGCCTCACATAGCTTGCCTCTTAGCAGTGTGCTTATTCCAGGTTAAAAGCAGAAAGACAAATGGGTCCCGTCCCAAAGAAATAGTAGGTATTCCTATAGCCTGCCTCAGCCCCCACTGCTAAAAAGGAGAGAGTGGCCCTTAACTAGGGCTTAGAAACATTGTTTCAAGTTACACTCACTGCAGTGGGATTTCCCATACCCCATCCCTACCAGCAAGCAGAACATCTAGTCTAGGGGTTTGTGTATCTGGGGATTTAGCGTCTTTGAAAGTGAATTGGGTTTATGTGCTTCTGGCACTAGGATCCATAATGTGGAGTCAGAAGATAAGGCAACTTGTTAATATCCTTCTTGTCAAGTTTATAATTTCATTTCATTTGTGTATGGTGTCCGGGAGAGGAGTGACCAGGCAAGATGGAAGAAGGAAGGACATGAGGATAAGGGAAAATGGATGCAGTGTTGAAGTCACTTCCAAGACTACAGAATAATCTGGAGCCAGATCACTGGCAGAGCTGAAGAGGTGCGGAAGGGGGAATTAAAAGCCAGTGTGGTAGCCTAGTGGATAAAGTCCACTTAAGGGGCCAGTGTGGTAGCCTAGTGGATAAAGTCCACTTAAGGGGCCAGTGTGGTAGCCTAGTGGATAAAGTCCTTGCCTTGCAAGTGCTGGGTTACCATATGGACACTAGTTCAAGTCCTGACTGCTCCACTTCCTGTCCAGTTCCCTGCCTGTGGCCTGGGAAAGCAGTTGAGAATGGCCCAAAGCCTGGGGACCCTACACCCTTTTATGAGACCCAGAAGAATATCCTGGCTACTGGTATTCTTCGCTACAGAGGGGACCTCATTAGGAGTGTGTCTCAGGAAGCTCATTCAGGAATTGGTGTGAAGAATGGGTAGAGCCAGAGAGAAGGCAAAGAGGTGATGGAGAAAGCTACTACTGTGATGCTCAAGAAAGAAATCAATGAGCTAAAACTGTGGCAAAGAGAATGGAGAGGATAGAAAGGATTTGAGAATTATAGAGATTTAGACAGGGGGTGGGGAAGGTATCAAGTTTGGGCCCCTGGAAACAGTCTTGCATGGGTAGAAAGATAGATTCATGTTAGGCTTGATTGGCTTTGAGCAGACTATGGGAATGTCCAGGTGGAAATGGCCAGGAAAGAGCTGGGTAAGCAAACAAGGATTTGGCATGTGGTCACAGAACAGTGTTTTCTGGAATGGGTTTTTGTCCTTCTCCCCCAACAGAGGGGCATTTGGCAAAGAATTCTCAGGTTCCTATGTCAGAAATGTGGACCTTGAGAAAACATGGAGTAGAGTGGACTGCTGAGAGTGAGAGCATGGCTGGGAAAGGAGCCTTAGAGATGTCCAGGCACTTCAAGGATGCCAGAGAAGCAGACACTCTGGGAGGCTGAAAAGAAGATGAGCTTACTCAGTTACTGAGCTTTGTGCAGCTCAGAGATATTGGGGCAAAAGAAAAAGTGAAGTTTTCTAGTAAAACAACCTCCCTGGAGGGCATAAAAGAAGGAGCAGTTGGCAGAAAATGCTGATAAATCCCTCCCCAACAGCCCCCTCTTTAGAAAAACCAGACCACTAACAGGCCCAAAAGTTTAGTCACAAGAGCTCAAAGCGCCTCCTTCTGGAAGGACACACAGAGCCGTCAGGGAAACCCACTGTTACCTTCTTACTTGTGTAGTTAAACCAGTGCAGAAGTCTGAACCTCCCCCAAGTGTGTCCTGCTGAGCCAGTAAGAGACTGACAAGTAATTCACCTCTCATTTTCCTGGTAGGAATACAGGCTTAACATCTTTTGCAGACTGACTGAATTTTGTTGCTGGAAATGGCTTGAGATGTCATCCAAGCTGTTTCCCTTGTTTGATATTCTACTAGCTTAGTTTGCCATTTTGGGGGGTTTAAAATCTGTTCCACAGAAACCGGACCCTCTCTTTATTGGCTGCGTTAAGACACCATTAGGCTGCTTCTAAATAGGACCAGATTTGTTGGGTAAATTTTGAAACCAATTTGTCTCATCTCTCCTTTCAATTAATCATGTTTAATTCATGGCCCCCTTCCAGAAAATAAGATGCAGTGTTTAAAAGGCTTAGGTTCATATCTTGCCCATTGCAGATGTCCCATAAATAGCAGTGTGACTGCTACTTCTGGAACTGTTTAATCGCTAACCTGTGTGAGGGGTCAAAACTAAACCAGCTTTTTCAGTCTCAGCTTTGAAGACAAAAGTGTCTATAGCATTTCATTCAGATTTACAATTAACCCACGTGTTAAAGCATTAGCATTCAAAGAACATCTTTCCTTGTTTCTCATATCTTTAGACAATAATATGTACTTAGAAACCTTCCTGTTGGAAGATTGTATACACTTTTTACAGTAAACCTTTTTTGTGTACAGCTGAGCGAGAACTGGTGTTAGTAGCTTTTCCTAAACGAATACCATAAAAGAGAAAATAAAGCATGCATACTTGCATTCCATGGTTCACAGCTTCTGAGTCAACTCAAGTAACACTCTCCAAGCACATAAAAAAAAATCATAGGCTGTTAGGTTGGAAATTGCTTGCATGAAGGGGAGAAAAATATCTTCAGAATGTGAATCCAAAGTTTTCTTAGTCTCTCCAATTCCCGACTCCCAGTTCCACTCTGGACTGGGAGGGGAGTAAGCAGTTGGAAGATGTAAAGTGGGGAATGTTGGTAGACAACATTTCACTGCTACCCTCTAACAGTTCTGTTAATCCCCAGCGAATCAAGTGCAAATCAAGTGCTGTTCTGGAACCACTTAAGCCAAAACTTATTATCTCTCAGCTACCACCACAAAAACAAACTCCGCACCGGTGGGAACGGGGACGCCGGGGCAATAAAGGCTGAGCATTCTGTGCCAAAGTCTACTGTCCTCCCAGGAAACTCGCACCCACCCAGCACTGCCCATGCCCCCTGCTGGAGACGGGAAGTATTTTCAGTTTCAGAACTGGAGGGCAGTAAAGGTTCCCTTTCGCCTTTAACTTGGGGAATCTCCTGGGACAGAGGACGCCCAGATCAGTGGCGTTTTGTTTGTTGAAATTCTCTCTTCACCTTCTTGTATCTGATGTTCAGAAAGAGACTCTTCGTACGGAGAAAAGGGGCTAGTCGGACAGAAAAAAATGGGGGAAGGGGAAACTTTGGGAAAATGCAGGATTGCAACCCTGGGCTGTGGCCCGGAGAAGATGATGTCACCGCTGCTGCACGGAGGGGTCGGGGGTGGAGCAGCCTAGGGGAGCCCGCGCCGCGCCTGCAGCTGCCAAGGGAGCGTTCCGAGCCCACGTCAGGGGAGGTGTCGGGATAAATAGGGTCTCGCAATGGCCATGGCTGGCTTCACTACGATCTGCAGGGTCCTGGGCTGTAGCTGCCCCGGCGGGGTCGTGCTCTGGAGGCTGAGGACTGGCGCTGCCGGTGCTCCGTGCGCAGGAACGCGGAGACCAGCGACCGAACCTCCGGACCCCGCATTGCTGCCCACTTGAGATCTGGTGCGAAATTTTTCCTGCTGTCCGGAAGACTTCTTGGGAGAAGGGACGGCGAGAACCTGGGGGAAGCGAAAAGAACAACACCTTTTCCGCCTGTCGGTGTCGCGCAGTGGGGAAGCCCAGCCATGCTCCTGTCTCTCCTGGTGGCGTTGTGCCTGTGGCTGCGCTTGGCGCTGGGTGTACGCGGCGCGCCCTGCGAGGCGGTGCGCATCCCCATGTGCCGGCACATGCCCTGGAACATCACGCGGATGCCCAACCACCTGCACCACAGCACACAGGAGAATGCCATCTTGGCCATCGAGCAGTACGAGGAGCTAGTGGACGTGAACTGTAGCGCGGTCCTGCGCTTCTTCCTCTGTGCCATGTACGCACCCATTTGCACGCTAGAGTTCCTGCACGACCCCATCAAGCCATGCAAGTCGGTGTGCCAGCGTGCACGCGATGACTGTGAGCCACTCATGAAGATGTACAACCATAGCTGGCCCGAGAACCTGGCTTGCGACGAGCTGCCCGTCTATGACCGTGGCGTGTGCATCTCACCTGAGGCCATCGTCACCGACCTCCCCGAGGGTGAGGCCGGGGGGAAGAATGGAGAAGGAACCACGTGAGGTTCTGGTGGCCACACCTGGGGCTGCCCGTGGGAGGTGTTCAGCTTCCATCTCACTCCTGAGGAAATGGCGAGGGATGAGGGAAGACCTTGTGTCTAGAAAATTCTGGTTTTCCCACAGGGGTTTAGGGAGCTGGGATTAGGAGCACCTTATTCCATGGAGAAGATAAAAGAGGAGGATTTATTTTACTTATACAGGAGCTACTGGGTGAGGTTTTCAATGACAGTCAATAGCCCAAACACTAATCACAGCAGAAACGATCATACTATATCTATGCACACAAGCACACTGCCTATACAAGTATTGACTGTTTTTAAAACCATCCTGGGTATGAGTGAGTGGTGCTAACACTCTCTGTTTCAAAGTTACTCCCGCCAAGACTGAGGTTTGTAAATTTAGGCACCCTGGAAAGTTGTGACCTCAGGCTCCTGGTCATTGACCAGGAACCAACTCCTGTGGCATCTAGTCTCTGTTTTCACTTCCTTCTTTTCTCTTTGATCATTTTGCTGCTTTTCTTGGAGGAAGGAGTGAGTTCAAATGCATTTCTGAAACTTCAGAATGTTTTTGCATTCTTCCATCCAGGCTTTCTCTGACTCACATTTAAAGAAATGACAGTGTTGTTTTGGTACAGTCTGAGGATTTGTACCTCGGAATGCTGCCCTCAGCATGGAGCAAGAGTAAGTGAAGGGGCAAGTTAAAACTCCTCTGCACATTAGGCTTGTAGGTGGAAAAAAACATTTATTGCCTAAGTTATATAGATTTTGAGCGTTGGTGTTTGGGTTTGGCTTTGTAGCTGATGACTGTTACTGCACTGGAAAATGAGAAAATCTGATTTGAACGTATGCGGGTTGTTCTGATTATCTTTAACTGTCCACTTGGACCATTAACATCTTCAATTCATTTTGGGAAAGATGACTGTGATCTACTCAGGTTGACTTTGTGTACCAGCCAAGTTAAATAGATGTACATTCACACCAACTTACACTTGGATGGGCTGAGTCACCTGTAAGTCTTTATCTCAAATACTGTTCCTTGTTGATGCTGTAGTGGTGTGCATTATCAGCTGGTATCTTGTTTCCCATCTCCAACCATGCCTGTGCTGCACTTTTTGTCTTGCAGATGTCAAGTGGATAGACATCACTCCAGATATGATGGTACAGGAGCGGCCTCTTGATGTTGACTGCAAGCGCCTCAGCCCTGGTGTGTCATCCCTTTTGCACGGCTGCCTCTCCTTTGTCTCCCCAGAAGGATTTCTGTACCCTTTCCTAACCTATTGTCCTCTCTTTTACCTTTTCCAGATCGATGCAAGTGCAAAAAAGTCAAGCCAACTTTGGCAACATATTTGAGCAAGAACTACAGTTATGGTAAGTCAGCTGGGAAAGCGGGTTGCTTCTGAGACTTGGCGTGGCACCAAACCATAACTGTGGTGCTGTTGTCTCTGTTCCAGCCAGACTGATGATCACGTGGCAAGAAAGAGAGCCGCTATTGTTGACTTTTTTTTTCTCTTAGTCATTTCTGTGGGCTCCAAACTGCAGAGTACCAATTGTAAAACTGATTGCTTTTCTGGGCAAATCAGGTAAGGACCAAGTGAAGTACCCAGTTGGTAAGCAGAGTAGGTAACAAGTTTAACACCTTTATCCTGATTATCTAGGTGGGAAGCACAGCTCAGCCAAAGGACCCTTAGTGGCAAGAAGGATGAGAGAATGATCTGTGGATTTCTTTATCTGAGGGCCTGAAACTGAAGGCATAGACACTCAGAAAACTGAGAACATACATGTAATGCTTTACTTAAAAATAACCACAATCATTTAGTTTCTTAACGAAATTGTGAGGGAAATGTGTTACTTACCAGGCCCTATGGCTGCAGAACTGAAAGAGTTTAAATGCCCTCCTTTCTCATTATTAAGAAAAAAAAATGTTTAACATGTTCTTCAAAAAAATAAGTCAACCATGCTATTTTAAAGAATTTCAATTTTCCTGTCATTGTTTGAGAGTTATTTAATTAAAACTATGTGTTTTTAAAACTTCTATTGCGGCTATTTTGTATTTTATTTTATCTTTCAATTATATCCACTGAAATAATAGAAAACTGTTTTTGGGAGAATGTATTGAGTATATTTGCTTAGTTTACATATCCAAAAGCTGGAATTTTATATCCCTAAGAAATTGTACATTGTGTATCAATTGTGGAGAAAGAATGGCAGAGCAATGTAAAATTTTACTGGAATCACTTCTGAGTTTCGCTGTCAGGTTTGAAAACCATAATCAATGTGGATAATTAAACAACCGAAAAAATACATTATCTCTTTCAATAGATTTTCTTTAAAATCTGTTCTGTGTAGACACTGACTTCATCTGTTCCGCTGGATTTCTTGCAAGACCCAACTTTGGATGCCACTCTGATTGTCACACTGTCCCCTGAAGTGGCCTGTCCTTGGAACTATCTTGATGGTGAAATAATTTTCTGTTCAAGTGTTCTGGTCGCTTTTGAAGCCAGCTTGGTAGGATGGAATCCAAGACAAAACCAAATTAGGCTGATTACAACTCCCTGACAAGTAGAATTATCAGGGGACTAAAGAAGCTAGGATTGAAAACTAGGTCAGAGACACCGACATTCCTGACCACCTGAAATGAGAGTGCCACATCTCTTCACCAGAGCTGTCACTTTGTCAACTTGTGAGATGAAAACATTTGAGAATATTAATCCTCATAAACATATTCCAGTTTTAAAATATTATGCTTCCAATGAGTTTGTGGAACTAAAGTATCAAGTTCAAATATCAGAGGAGGCTTTTGAATCTAAGACTCTGTGATTCTCACTTCCCATTGCCACAAGAGGGAATATAAACACATAAATGTTTATGTGGCATCTTCACTGATTATACAGATCAGACTAAAGCCAGATTTTTTATTTTGCAGGTGGAACAGATACCACCATTTCTGATTTTCCTCTAAATGCTTCAACAACACTTATATCAATTTTTAAATTGCAGTTATTCATGCCAAAATAAAAGCTGTACAGAGGAGTGGCTGCAATGAAGTGACAACAGTGGTGGATGTGAAAGAGATCTTCAAGTCCTCATCACCCATCCCTCGCACTCAAGTCCCACTGGTTACAAATTCCTCCTGTCAGTGTCCCCATATCCTACCGCATCAAGATGTTCTCATCATGTGTTATGAGTGGCGTTCGAGGTGGGTGTGATGCAATGACAAGACTGCTTATGCAAACCGAATCTTAGTTAACAGTCTCTGTTTAAAGATATAAGGCAAAATGGTGTCATATTCTTTATGAAGAATGTAGTTTTAATCAGAACTTCTGATGGAATGCCAGATATCCTAAATATCAGAAAGTGAGTGTAGAGAATAGAATCTCTACCAATCAATTTCAGAATTTACTAAATGATTTCCACATTGTAAAGGCAAATGAATTGCTTTGAGAAAGAGCAGTTCTTTTCAAACCCTTCAGACAACTTTAGTCTAGAAAACACTGGATCTTTTATTCATAAGTAAGGTTTGAACAGATAACTGAATGATTCACACATACACACATATACATGTGTATCTCTTCAGGAGTGTGAGCCGCTGTATGACACTCCCCTTGACATCCCTTTATACATTGGTATATTCCTTACAGCACAGACGAACTCTGCATCCTGGTTCTAGTATGAATGCATAACTTATGCAACTTACTTCTCCGATGAACTCATTCACGCTAACACAGTCATACCCAGGTATCTTCTGTTTCTTCTGTATACAACTCAAGCTTCTGTGCCTCCAAAAGAAAACAAAAACATGTTTTGTATCTAGCCTCACTTGAATTCTTTGTGCTGTTTTCCATCGCTACCTGTAGACCTCCGCATGCTGTGCATGAGGTGCTTTGCATACACAACTTAAAACCATTCCTCCACTTAAATCCTGTTACTCCAAAGAAGCAAGTCAGTGTTTGGGGGCTCGTCTCTTGTTTGATGCATTTCACTGCTGCCGTGCCCAGCACAGCTGAGGTTCTATCCCATCTCCAGGGATTAGTAAAAAGGGGAGTACAGCAGTGCAGGAAAGGCTAAATATATTGTAGATATCCACAGTTGTAATATTATACTACATCACACTGATCTTTGAGGTTTTCATTCTAATTATATTAGCAAATCATACAATTATAAAAGGATATATGCAATGTGATCTAAATATATAGTATGATATAATCTATCTGTACATATGTGTAAATAGAGGTACAAGGGAGAATGCGAGAAAATATGAACAAAATATACAAGTGAAAGACATGGAAATTATGGGAAAAAATTTAAAAATACCTTTTCCTACTTGAAAACTTTCTGCGTATATAACTAAGTGGTGCTTATTCGGGTAATTTTTTTTTTCCAGAATGATGCTCCTTGAAAATTGCTTAGTTGAAAAGTGGAGAGACCAACTTAGTAAAAGATCCATAGTAAGTATTATTAGCAAAAATGTACATACAGGTATAAATTAATAGAAAGAAGTTCTATAGAATTTGAGAATTCTTTATTTTCTCTCATACCCAAGCTCTCATAAGAGCCATAAATAGCAACAGTATTTGTCTTTGGAGTAGATAAGACTGTAACAATTGTCACTTTAATCATAAATCTGCCATCTAAATTCAAAGGTTATATATTTGTATTCAATATATATATGTGTGCAAATATATAGTGTACTGTAATATATATTCCAAACTAAAGTACTTTTGTTTATTGTGCTATATTTATTTTTAGCAGATAATTGATCCTGAAACAATTAATATCCACTTAGATTAAAATTAATATTTGGAGGAACGCCAATGCCTCGCTAGAACTGATTAACTGTTGTACGCAGCATACTCTTAGATCTGATTTTAATGGTAATATGATACTGATAATTCATGATACTGAGCAGAAGTAAAATAATTCTTCATCCAAAAGTGTAAAATTATAGTATGAATTATAGTATGAACTAACAATATCAGGTAATGAGTTTGAAATTTTAAAATATCCCAGCTCCTGAAAATATGTTTAGGTACATTTAGGAAGATGTAGCTTTTTCCTGTCACCAAAGGTACTGCTATTTTAGTATTCTGTTAGTTTTTATTAATAAAAATTGTTGGATGAGACAATAGGAAGTATTAATCGTTGACTTATGGAGAAGGTGAATCTAGCATAGTCTCCCCAACCCACGTCACTTCTGAATATGACGAAACACAACTGTGTTAAAGCTGAGGATTGTGTTGGGTGGTACTAGACAGAAAATGCTAGCAGGCTGGGTTGCTTGATTTCTCAAGACTACAGGAGGTTAGCAGCATGAATGGAGAATGGATTCTAAGTTTCCAAAACTGTTGAGAGGCATGACGGCGTTAGGAATCAAAGCTATGTGAGCAATTCGCTTTGCCAGCAAGCATTCCAGTATGTGTGGGAGAAAACTGGAAAATACTACCGAACAAAAGCAACACATAGGAATGGGTTTGTTGTTTTAAAATACAATTGGATTGTACCTAGGAGGGTAGGAGCTGTGTTTTCTTTTCCTTTAGAACTCTCTCTGGCCGAAAATTGTGCTCAAACTTTTGCTGAATGAAATACTCATGTATTCTAACAAAGCAGAAGCATGTATTAGAATGGAAAGTGGTATCTATTCAAGTAGGCTAAGTTTTTTTCTTCCATGAGGTTTTTACAGAATAAATCTACTGTCAAGGAAACTGATTACCTAGAATGACTCATGTCCCTGATATCTGCATAACTGATGCTTCAGTACATTACACTAATCCCACACCCTCATAGTCAGTTTTTTGCCTCCTGTTTTAGAAAGTAAAATAAAATGTTTTGAGAAAGGGATAAAGAGAAAGACCATGTTCATGTATTTTAACTATGTTGTTATATTAATTTTGTATGAACATGCTATTTTTGCTCATCACTAATCTGGAAGCTAACCTTACCACATGTAATATGTGCAGGAAAAAATCTTAGTTTACATAGATTTTGTAACTGTTTATGGTTTCAGGGATCCACTGATAATCTTAGGAAAGGCATGTTCATTGTGGAAAAAGGAGATTGTTGGAGTACATATAGTTGAACGTCCATCTTCGGATGTTGGAGAATTTAATGAACAAATGTGGAATAAGAGATTTCTGATTTGTTAGTGAGGCTGGGTGAATGTTTGCTGTTAGTCATTTTACAGTCTTTTTAGAGGTTTTGCTCTATGGGAAATGGTGCATTTTAGGGCTGGTGATCAAAAACGCATGGAGGGCATTGGGTTCTGGAGCTTTGATGAATGGATTTGAATCTTGACTGTGATACATAAGCTGTGCAATCATCTGCAAATAACCTCTTTGTGCTTGTTGGTTAGTCATGAAATTGGTGTCTAACTAGAAACACTGTTGTGTGCATCGATGGAATGAACATGCGTCATGACTTTCTCATATATAGAACATTTTCCAAGTCACCCTGTACATTTTGAGTACTTGAGGGAGTGTTGCTGTTTATGGTAATGTTTCCACTGTTAGTCTATAATGGTGATGTAAGAAATTGCATTAGAGTATGTACTTGGCCCAGTAGTTAACAGGCTAGTGAGATACTCACTTGCCATTTCAAAGTTCTGTCCTCAGGTATGGATGCTGACTTGAGTATCTCACCTTTGCAGACCGTGGGAAGCAGTAATAGACAACTTAAGTAGTTGAGGGCCTGCCCTCTATGTGGGAGATCTGGATGGAGTCCTTAGTTCTTGGCTTCAGCCAGACCCCCAGTCCTAGCCGCTGTGGGAGCGGCATTTGGGCAGTGAACCAGTAGGTGAGAGCTCTCTGTCTCTGTTTCTCTGTCTCTCAAACAATGATTAAACACACTGATACATTCTGTTGTTGGTTTACCAGAATAAAGGTGTGAGGGATGTATTTGACACTCACGTGTACAAATTGCCTCCCAGCAGTGGGAAGAGAGGCTGCAGGAACAGCAGAGAACAATCCAAGACAAGAAGCAAACCACCGGGCGCACCAGCCGTAGTCATCCCCCCAAACCAAAGGGAAAGCCACCTGCTCCTAAACCAGCCAACACCAAGAAGAACATTAAGACTAGGAGTACTCAAAAAAGAAAAAACCCAAAGAGAGTGTGAGCTAACTGCCTTCCAGAATGGCGATCTCCTTCCAGGATGAGGCCAGGCATTGCCTGGAACACACCCCTAGCCCTAACACCTCCCTGCAGCACTCTGCGTAGACACATCTTGCAGTAGTTTCCTTAGCATTGTGCTTCACTTTTTCTCTCTAAGACATCACAGAGTGACTTAACAGCCATCATGGTAGTTTGCCATTGGAACTGAAGAATGAAGTAAAGCTGGTGGAAAATGCCTAGTACATCCTGAGTAGCCTGTGTGTGTACTCTGAATGATATTCTGGGAAAAGTTCTTACAGTTCGGCCTAGGACGTACATTATGAAATGAATGCTGTGTTTCGAACAAAACCCTTAATGGTTAACAATATTTTTATTTCTGTTGATTTATTAAAATGTTAGCAACATCTGAAAATGTAATAGAAGATAAAATGCTTCCAAGGAATAAGGAAGAGCAAATCATGTAAAAAGACCTTTATGTGTTTTTCGTCTACAATGAGAGTTTTGTGATGAAGGAGGATTTGGGAAAAATTTAGGGAAGTAGGATGTGGGAAAGTGTTATGTTTATGTGTTTTCTTTATTTTTTTTTTACAAAGATGACTTTCTGCTCTACTTTTAGCTAGAAACTCTAAAAATTAAAATAGCAATAGTAATACATAAATAAAAAGGAGAAGCAGACAGATCATATCTGGATTCTTGTTCTTTGGTCCTTGTGCCATGATGAAGAGAATGTGATCTTTTTTATGATCAGTTGCTTCTTGCCATAAGTAGTACCAGGAACTGTGAGTTTGTCTCATGATAATCGGGGCATCAGTTAGTCGATTCTCATGTATTTCACATCCACAACAGGAGAGGTATGTCATTCATCTCAACTTCCAGGCATCCTGGAGTTATGATCACCAAGCCTGAAAGAATGTTCTCTTTGCTGATTTCTGGTGCTCTCAGAATGTCTGTGAAGCGTTGGTGAGAGGGCTGCAACACCAACTGACTCTTATCCATCGACTCTGCACCTGGAGGAAGAGGCTGAGACCCCCTGTCCATCCACTATGCACAGAGATGGCAGAATGCTCTAGAAAGCTCAAGACTAATTCCTCTTTAGATATGCAGTCATCTTTATTTTTCAAACAAAGAATACTGCCATAAGTAGTACCAGTAGTACTGACTGCACATAAGATAATGAAATACATGATTTAATGTCATCTCTGTAGTCATGGGGACATGGAAGTAAGGACAGAGTGGAGAAACTAGGCTAATGAGAATGCTGATGTGTGCACTCACCTTCTCCTGAATGCTTTGTTCTACATTGTTACCCTTGAGTGGCAGAATTTTTAAAAATCTTGTGTATCAGCCTGTACCAGGAATATGATGCAAACATTCCAGGTGTGATCCTGCTGTATAAAGGACAAAACCCTTGATCCATAGGTATAGTCAAGCAGGTACTTCACATAGTATCCAAACTCAACCGTCTTGGACAGACTCCTGGAAGACACTGGTGGCCTATTTTAACTCCTTAACACAGTAGGAATTCTTGAGAATGTGGGAAAGTTCAAGTGGAAACTTTTCACAGAAATGCAGGGAAAGATATCTTTTAAAAAAAAAGGTGAAATGCAAAAATTCTTATGATAAGTGTTTGGAGATAACTGTGCGAACTTAAGGAATGCATCCATCAAAGACTTACCTGAAGTTATATAATGGTTATTACACACAAACCTTCCTGATTGAGACTCTTTTTTTCAGTTTAGTCAGTGAAAGATAAACCAGAGCACTGTTTGATTATTTATTATGAAAAAGCTGGAAATGAGCATTGGTACCAACTGAGGATATAGGTCCTAGAGTGGCTTCCATGTAAGCACCAAGAATTTGCTTTTCTCAAATGCTTTCTTTACTTAAATAAATGTGATAGATTATAAATACAAATATGTGGGCAAGAGGTGAAGTATGTCTCTGATGTGGTAACTATTTAGGAATCAGGATGCTTTGATAAAAAATTATAATATTTTTATATCAGCTAATTTTATAATTTTGTACAACTGGGAGCATTTCTTTTAAAAATGCTTCTTGGGCTGTTAATAATGGTAAAAATGTAATCTTGTTCCATAAATGTTCAAAGTAAAGATATTCAATCAATGCACAAAATAAGAAATAACAAAATTAAAATCATGTCATTTCCCACTTATAACTATGCAGAGTTAATCAGTTGTCCAGAAGTCCCTGTACATTTAGATCATGATTTGAAAAAGTGAAAGTGACAGACTGAAAACTCCCTGTTTTATATCTTGTTTCCTTCCTTTGGCCCTTTATTAATATTTCACTTAAAGCAGATATTGCACCATTTGTCACAGTTGTGTTATAGTCTGTGTTGTACACTACTCAACAAACACTTTTGGGGATTTGGATATTTTCTTAACTGAGCATATTGAATAACTGCATAAGCATTTAATAGCCAGATATGTGTTCACATCTTTAATTAGTCACTTGAGATGAGTTTGTTTAAATAGCATTGTTAGAAGGATTAGGCTCCTTAAAAATTTATGATTGTTTTATTAGTGGTGCTTCAGAATGCTTGAAACATAGGTGAGTGACGGTATTGATTTTCCAGTTCCCTTTTTTAGTGTTCTTCTTTTTAACCATATTTTTAAAATCAGTTAAACCTCTTTAGTCAAGGCTAATGCTTTGGCTTGTATAAGATTTGTAATGCAGGATTCCACATTCTGTGGCCTCGGCCCCAAATATGGCAGTTTTGAGGTGGTGGAAAGTGTAAAAAGTGTAGTCTATAAGATGCTAGCTAGTCATTGAGGGTGCTACTCTCTTAAGGAATTAATGTAATTCTCTGCTTGTGCATGAATAGTTTTTGTTTTGTTTTTTTAGACTAGTAGTACATTTTATTGTTATGTACCATAACAGGAAATACAGGGTTTTCATAGTAGTCACAGTAGTTACTCTTATCTCAGTATGTATCAGATAATACATATGGAGGCATTCTTTCTTTTTTTCCCCTGTGATGGGGGTTCTTTTTCTATTTTTTTCCTTCCTTTTTATTTTTAATTTTATGATATAAATCCTGTAGGCTCTGGGATTTTCCTTACTCCCTCTCAAAAGCCCCTCTTCACAACGTATTTCCCCTATATTATTACAATAGTATAGTCCTTCCTAAGCAGTCACAAGTCAATCATTTTGCTATCCAAGTGTGTCCTGACATTGTCAGTACATAGTTACTATACATTGCCTTAAATGAGAAGCCATAAAACAAAGTCAACAACAGGAATAAAATTTAAAAAAATTTACAGCACCATGGAATATGCTAATATTCTACTGAATAACCAATGTAGAAATGAAGAAATGAAAACCAAGAAAGCTTCTTGGAGAAAATGATGCTACTGTGTGATTTATGAGTCAGTGAAGAATTTAGTAAGAAAAAATAAACTACTTTGTAGAAATGAAAATAAAAATAAAAATATGAAAACCGATGAGATATAGCAAAAATAGTATTGAAAGGGCTATTGATCTTATAATTTGCATGAAGGTTGCCTTATATCAGAAAGGACATACAGTATTTGTCATTTTGAGATTGATTTATTTCCCTCAGCATAATGGTTCTAGTTGGAACCATTTGGTTGCAAATGGTATAATTTCATTCCTTTTAATGACTGAGCAGTATTCCATGGAGTAGATGTACCACAGTTTCCTCTTTGGGTTGTTTTCATGTCTTTGCTAGTGTAGAGTGTGCTGCTGTAAGCATAGGATGCAGATCCCTTTCTCATATGCAGTTTTCATTTCCTTTGGATGTATTCCTAGGAGTGGGATAGCTGGGTAATATGGCAGGTTTATCTGGGGTTCTCTAAGCACTCTCAATACTGATTTTCATAGTGGTTGTACTAGCCTACACTCCCACCAACAGCAAAGGAGGGTACCTTTCTCTGCACAGGTGGTGTTGGTGGTGTTCTGAATATAAGCCAGTCTCATTGGAGTTAGGTGGAATGTCAATGCTAGGGAGTCTGAGCATCTTTTAATATGTCTATTAACCATTTGAATTTGTTCTTTTGAAAAATGTTTGTTCATTTCCTTTGCCAATTTCTTTATAGGGTTTTTTGTCTTTTTTTTTTTTTTTAATTGTCACTGGGTTTCTGAAGCTCTTTGTAAATCCTGGATATTAGTCCCTAATCAGTTGTGTACTGTGCAATTCTCCCATTCCGTTGGTTGCTTCTTTGCCTTGTTGATCATTTCCTAGCCGTACAGAAGCATCTCAGCTTTATATAGTCCCACTTGTTTACTTTGGCTTTTGGTATCTTTTTGAAGACGTCTTTCCCCATTTTTGAATCTTGGAGAGTGCTTCCTTCGTTTTCTTTTAATAGCTTTATGGTTTCTGGGTGCTGATTTGGATCTTTGATCCATTTAGAGCCGATTTTTATATGAGGTGACAGGTGGGGGTGTTGCTTCTTACCTTTGCAAGCTGCCATCCAATTGTCCCAACAGCATTTAATTAATTCCTCTCGTGAGGAATTAATGTAGTTCTCTGGTTGTGCATTGGTAGTTTGTTACTAATTAAAAAAAAAAGGTAAGACTTCTCCCTGCCTAGTTTCTGCCTTCCAATTTTGCCATGTGATTTCTCCATCTTGCGCTCGTTCACATAATGATACTACCTACCGTGGGATCTTCAACACAGGGTGGACCATTAGGTTGCCTCATCTTGTACTGTCAATCTACAAAATTGTGAGATAAATACATCTTTGATCCTTACAAAGTATCTAGTCTCAGGCAATTTGAGATAGCAACAGAAAATGGACTAAAATAGATATCTTGGTTAAAATTTTCTCCTTTATCTGCTGTATCAGCTGACAATATTATCAACAGTGCTTATGCTCCAGGAAACTGGGAAAATGAAGGATCGTTACCTCAAAGGAAGATAGTCAATGGCTGGTTAAATGGCTGGTTACATGTAGTTAATGGCTGGTTACATGTAGATAAAAACATGCATGCATACATACATACATACATATAGACAATAGATAGATGATGGGTGGATAGATATTGGCTGTTGGGAAATGCCTTGGCCACCTCTTCTGCTTTTTCAAGTTAATAAAATTTAACAATACAGCTAGCTAACTAAAAAAAATGAAGATTTAGAGTATAGCAGAAATGGCAGGGGACTTTCTTTCAGCCCAATCTTCTTTTGAGATATGTGAGAACTTACATAAGTAAACTTTTTCTTACTTTTCAGTTCCAGGCATATGCCATCTGATCATTTTAATTTCTGTCCTTGGGTGCCTGTAAGACTATCTGTTGTGTCCTTATGTTAAAACCTGCTGATTTGTACTAGCTTGAGAGAACTGGGCGGGGGTAAGGGTGATGGTGGTAGGGAGACTCAGTTTCTGAGTAGAAAGGAAGGGAGGCATTTTCCCAGAAGGTTCTGCTTACTATGATCACCAGTTTTAAATTAATCATATTAGGACTGATGGAATGTAAAAGTTGATGGATAATAATCTTCCTTGCTGGAGAAAGATGTGAGAGTTTCACTGTTGCCCTTCCCCTGTCAAGAAAGACATCTGGGCACCCAGGATTCTAGAATTTTATTTTCCCAGGATGAAGTACAATAACTCAAGCCTGGAATATTAAAGGAATATTCATTTATCACCACAGAAAGAACAGTTAAGAGAAAAAACATGCTACTTTTGGCTACAATCTGATGTATGCTAATCTTGATCACTGTTTCCTAAATGGTTTCTAAAGTATGCTGGAGTAAAGTGGATTTTTTGTGTGTGTGATTCAAATAATTTTCCACTATTATTGAATTCTCAAGACCAGAAAGAAAAATGAGCACAAAAGAATGCAAGACATTAATGTTTTCTGTGTTTTGTCTGATGAACTTTTTTTTTTTTGTGATTACAAGGCACTTGGAAGTATTTTCAAAGAGAAATATGGTTTATAGTCATGTAGATATGCAAATTTGAAACTGCTCCCTTCACACTGTTTTAATCTGGAGCCTCCAAAAGGCAACTGCCAAGGCAGATGTGAATTTGCAAGAATTCTGTTGGAGGAAATATCTGTGAGAAGAAAGGAAATGGGTAGCACTAGATGTTGTTACAGCATGGTTCATGACTAACCCGAAGGTAGGAGAGGAGGGAGAGAGAAGGAAGGTTGCTCCTGAGTGTTTTAAATGACTGAGATGTCTAGGAAATCTTTGGCAAGGTTGACTGCAGAGTCCTTGAGCCAAAGTCACTCATCAACAAGTCTCATTTCCCGAAGACAATTCTGTCTAACAGATTTTGTGGCACTCAATCACCAGCTGACAGCTACCCCTGAGGAGGGTGGCTTTGGTGCAAAGAAAATGAATTTCAGAGGTCATCAGCTAGAATTCTGGGGCCTCTGTGCTTGGACATCTGTGATTTGCATTCTCATGTTCATCGTAGTGTAATAATCACAGAAATATCACAATTAATGGATGTATTTTTTTGCACAATCTATGAAATAGATCAAGCAACAAATGTCTATCAATACACATTTTCTGTAGTTCATATCAATACACATTTTGAACCCCCCAATCCTTTAAGAGTTTTTTCTTTTCTATTCAGATGTATTACAGGGAGTATGTACTAATCACAACTTCAAACATCACAATATTTAGGTGTCTACTTAAGTATTAATGAGAGAGAAAATATGTTTAAAGAGGTCCTTAATATCAGTAGCTATGTCTTTTCTTGTGTAATGTTGGCTTTATATATTCATGCAGTAGAAGCATAAATCTGAGTTGTTAATTGTAAAGTATATACCTGTGAAAAACTGAGGTTAAGCCAAAATGGTATTATAAACAAAACACCTCCATGCTACCAAAGAAAATCTAGAAACCATCACTGCCCAAAACTGGATTTAAAAACAAACAAACAAAAATCATTAACATGTTAACTTTTTCAATAACTTCAGCAATTATGTCACTGAAATATCTTATCAGCTGAAAATCACATAGGCAATTACTGAGTCAACATTCTCCCATTACTGACATAATAAAAAGTCTAACTTTGGAAGTCATCCGAAATGACTTCCAATGAGTATGTGAATTCTGACATCATCCAAGCATGTATCTGTGTCAGGAGATGCACTCCAGTGGGCAGAGAAGGCACTGAGAGAGTCCAGCAGAACAGCTATGAAACAGAATACAGTATGTTCAACGGAACCTGTTCATTTTCTGCAAGGCACTGCTGACAGGAGCAGAATCCAAGAAAACAGGTGCTGGGTTGAAGTCCATGACAAAGCCAGTTCTGAAGGAAGAGGACTATTCTCTCCAGAAAATTAGCGAAGACTCAGACTTTACCTCCAGCTCTGTCTGGCTGTAGTAGGACAGGTCGTTCCCACACAGATCAACTTTCTAAGTTTCTAAGTTTGTCTGTGTGTTTGAAGTCACATCCCCACCATCATGTTTGGCTTTCCATCCCATAAATATTAGTACAGAACTCCAGATACATTGATTTTGTTGTCCTCACTTGTTTTGGCCGTAATGATCCAGGATCTGCATTTTCCCCCTTAGTAACCTAGTTAAATTTGACCGACCCACTTAGCTTGTTTTCTGAGGATTTGGTAGACTATTCTAATCTTGCTTCTCCCCAGAATAAGGAGACAGTTTCAAATAGTGCCAACCCTTGTCCTCATAAGGCTGTCTTGTGTTGATGTGATGAGCCCTGTCAAGCTCAATCCTTCCAAGAGCCACACCACCACAAATTAAAGTTGAATTGAATTTATCTCTTTGGACATTGATTATTAGATTTCTCAATACTTACCTCCAGCCTTATATGTCTTGCAACTAACGGGAGCACAAATACACAACTGAGTGCATTCTGCCATCTGCTGGTATCATAGGATAGCACTCCTGAGAGATCTGTAAATGGTTTGCCACATAACACTGTCACATTATAAATACCCAAACAGACTGCCCATATAAAATAGATAATTTCATTCAGTTTGACAGAGTGGACAAAAGTGAAGGAAGTGAGGAAGGTGAAAATTTTCTTCTTACTACTTATTTCTCTATCTAGCCCAAAGGAAGCAAATAATTTGCTTTAGTTGAAAAAAAAAAAGAAGAAATTCTTTGAAGACAAATGGAAAGCTGCTTTAGTCTGTATAGTTTAGTGGTTTTGTAGGCATACTTGTCGAATATTGGATTGGTGTACTCAAAATTTGAGGTGAAAATCTGTCCCACTAAAAAGAGTCAAGGCTTGTGAGAATCTTAACATCATTAATGTTAGCGTTTAGAAACTAGAATGGAAATGAAATCACACATCATTCTCTCTCACAATCCAAAATGTACCCTTTTTGGTGTAATGAAAAGGTGGAATGTTAGCTAACATGCTGAAAACTGCAGATAACCCTGATTAGGAACTTAAGGACATTTTGTTGCAGAGGCACAATACCCTCAAATAGTTGTTCATTATGATCTTCTATCCCTGGGATATGTGCACTATGTTACCTTCATTATGCCAGGCAAATGGCCTGTACAGTCTTGTATTGAGACTGCAAATCATACGAATCTGTGTGACATCTTCTCAGAGTTGTCTCCTAGGAAGTTTGGACTCCAAAATCACTTTTGGATAAATGTGTAAGCAAGCACAGAGATTCATGAAATGCATTTTGCATACCTGTGCCCTTTGCTTCTTAGGATCTCTCCTGCTGTTTTCTCTCTGTACTTCATCTTCCTTTCTTCTCCAATTATTCTGTGGCATCTTTTATGTGTTTATATAAGCCCACTTAAATCCCTTCTTGAAGACAGAGGAAAATAAGCCTTGAGATTTATTAGAAGTTCGCATTTTTATTGTTATTGTGCTTTACCCCACATTTTTTTTCGTGTTGAAATGAATTTTCCTCCAAAAACAGAAAGTCTTTTCCTGTTACTCATCCCAGACAGCCACATGATTATACGTTGACGTGGACATCTTCTCCAAGCTCTAGGAAGAGAAAGAATACATGTCATAAAATAAATGGCCACGCTCTATGCTCAGTTTAATGGGTTTCCATGTCGGAGATTTGCATAAAGGTCCCTCCCATGCGCCACCATCCCAGAGTCTCAAAAATGGCTTTGTTCTTTAGCTAGGCTACCTGATTCAGGAAGTGAGTGATCAACAAGGATTTACAAAGCAACGTGTTAATGAACCAACTCTTGAGCAAGTTTCAAAATACTAAGCTGGGAGTAATTACTCCTCCCGCCCACCCCTGCAACTGTTTTAAGGATTCAGAACTGCTGCTCAAACAAAAGGGGAGCAAGAGAAGTGGAGGGAACCGAGGAAGGACACAGGACTGGCAGTGCAGCTCTTTACCCAGAAGTCTGCAGAGGCTGGAGGGGAAGGGTGAGTGTGGAAGGGGGAGTAGCTGGGAACCAGAAGAGTTCTAGGATTTGTGCTATGGTTACAGTGTATGTTAAAGAAACAAAACAAAACAAAACAACAACAAAAAAGCCTTGGTTTGCTATCTCCCCAAGAACTTTAAGGCTCAATTGCATGTAAGGGCTCTGATGGCAGAAAGGCCTGTGTTCTGCTTTAAATGCATGTGTCCTACACTGGCTTGATTGTCTGCCAATGGGGGAGGGATATTTGGAAGATTCTAGGCAAGGTATTTTTGTGTCTCAGAGCAACCATTCCTTATTCCGTGTGTGTGTGTGTGTGTGTGTGTGTGTGTGTGTGTGTGTGTGTGTGTGTGTGATGGATAAAACTTCCTTCCTAACCACCCACATGTACAAATCAGGGATATTAGGTAGATTCACATTGTATACAAGCACTGAAAATTTTCAACACCCTAAAAAGAAACCCTGATCTTATGACTCAATAGTTTTCAATTTCTCCTTCTATTCTGCCCTTTGAAACCTCTGCCTACTTTGTTTCTGTGATTGCCTGTTGGTACTTAATATAGGTTGGATTTTAGCATATTTGTCTCCATATCTCTCACCCCTTTCATTTAAAAATATTTTCTAGGTCCATCCATGTGGAAGTATGTATTAGTACTCCATTAATTCCTATTACTAAGGAATATTTTTATCCAATAAATTTATTTTATTTTTGATGATGTTTACATAGCTGAGAAGGATGCATATCCATGTGGACCACGGATGAGGGTGGGGAGAGTTGAGCAGTGGGGAAAGTGGATGAGATAACTGTTTCCAATCTCCTCTTTTCTTCCTGTATTTGGGGAAAGTGGGGAGAGGAGGGGAGAGTGTCGCTCCCAGCATCCCAACTGCATCAGTACCCAGAAATAGGGGAAGGCTACCCAGTGTCATCCCAGAGTCCCCAATGTGGAGCATGTTCTGAGGGCACTGCTTAAGTGGTTTTGATAGTTCTGAGATGCTGTTGATTTTGTTGCTCCAAAGATGAGGAAATCCTTCCAAGATCCACTGACTGACAGTTTGTCTTAACAGAGTCTCCACTCACTCAGATACCACTGTCAAGGTTTGACCAAGAGAACTGTCCAATTTATTCTGCTCTCCACGGTATTAGACATCCCCTTCAGGCCTCAATGAACTGGTCGTCATTTCCCCCATGTGCATCTGACATGCTCTCCACTGCTCAGGATTCAACATCCAAACAGACCCAGTTCTGCCACATACACTTCATGGTCAGATCACAGGTCCTGTAATTTCCCCCCTCCAGCTGAAGTTCTGAGTCCAGTGATCCAGTTGATGGGGGTCCCCAAAGAAACCTTGCCAGAGGTAACCCCAGTCCTGACTCCTGTGTGTGCCAGTTGGTGTGGATTCCATTTCAGTCTATCACAAACATCAGCCTACACACACTGGTAGTTGCAGTCACCCAGTCAGTTCTGTGCCTAGCCCCATCTCATATGCAAACCAATGGATGCTGCAGCCCAGAATACTTTATTGTTTATACATATCATAGGTTGTCTATTCATTCTTCTGAGGTCTGAATCATTGAGTTGTTTCTGTCTTTTGGCCACTGTGAATAACTTTCTAACACATCCGGTTATGTGTGTGCTTGAATGCCTGCTTTTAATTCTTCTGGGTATAGAATTAAGAGAGAGGTTATTAGGTAAATTGTAAGTCTATGTTTAAACTCTTCCTTGGTAGCTGTGCCATTTATCAGCAGCATGTAAGAACAGTGTCCACGTCTCTGTGTGCTGCTGACACTTGTTTCACTATTTCAGATCATGGCTATTTGAGTTATATATAAAGCAGTGTGTTATTGTTGATCTAATTTGCACTCCCTTAACAGTAAATGGTGTTGAAGATCTTTCAAGTGCTTTTTTATTTTATCTCCTCTGGGTAAATGTCTAAACAAGTCATCAGTAGCAAAGTGGGAATCGTTGTATTGTTTATTATCTTAGAGGCAAAACTTTCAGGATTTCACCATTCAGTGTATTAGCTATGGTCTTTATCATACTAAATTTTTTTTAAATTTCTATTGAGTTTTTATATTAAAGTGTATTGGATATACTAAGTAGGTTTTTTTTTTTTTTTGCTTTTGTTGAAATGACTACTGCTTTTCTGTCCGTATTCCTTTATATTGATTGGTATTCAATACCAAAACATCCTTGTACTCTTCGTGGTATGAATATTAATCAATCATTCTGTATAATCATTTTATAATTTGTTCAACTCTGCTTGTGAGCATATTGCTGAACATTTTGGCCTCCTCATTCACAAGACGACTTGTTCCGTTGGTTTTGTTGTTGTTGTTGTTTGCTTTTTATAGGGTAAATCTTGTTCCTAGCATGTACATACGCATAAAGACAAGTTAAAAATAACGTGAAAGCAGGGCCGGCATTGTGGCCTAATGGGCAGAGCCTCAGCCTGTATCACTTGGCACTGTATGTGCATGGTTATATTTTGTGGCATTTTCACATGCCCCTTGTCCTGTCACTTTCAGCTTGGAGACATGAATCAATATCTGTGGTTAAAGATTGCATTAAGAAGTGTAGTTGACTGGCCAAGTCTGGGAGGGGAAAATACATGTCTGCTGTAGGTCTTAACCACAACCTGTGGCCATGTGTGGCTGCATTATTTCTCAATCACTGTGTAGTAATTTCAGCTAGTGTCCATCACTTTTTCACATGGAATACTTTCCAGGACAGATGAAATAGACAAGCACACCTTATTCTGATAGCCTCCAGAACGGTTAAATATACAATAATTTTTCAATAAAATATGTTCCATTGTGTGTGGAATTGAGATCCCACACAGGCAATATGGATTGCCATATCTTCAAGTATCCAAATCAGAAGTGATGGTTCAAAGGACAAGAAAAATGCAACAAATTTTTCACACTGTTTGTAACTTGCCTTTATGCCAACTCAGCATTATCAGACATCTGATAAAGTTGGTTCTGGGTTTTGTTGTTTGTTTGTTTTTGTTTAGTTCATTTTTTACTGCTCCGTCAAGTGAGGAGAGCCTGGAGCACCATTTTCCTTGATGTCATCATGATGAAGCCTGTTGACTGCCCTGCACTGAGAGTCTGACTAACTCTCCATTCAGGCATCCTCTACCCAGCAAAACAAAAACACAGCTTGTGGCTCTTATTTCTAACCTGTCTCCCTCTTCGGAGTTGCCTGTGAATCACTACTACCCTACCAAGTAGGTAGAGAAAAAGATAAAACTTTCTGGCTTGAGTGACTGAGAAAATGGTCTGGATTCTAAGGTTAAAGTCAGAGTAGTCCATTTTCAAGTTCCATGGAAACAGTGCAGCGGTCCACAAATCATCTGACCATTTCACATACCACGAAGTGCACAGTTACTATGTTAACTCAGGCTTCCAACAGCTTTTACCTTTATTATGACAGTGCCTCTTTCCTGGAGAGTTTGCATCTCATTTTCCTTCTTTCTGCTTCCTATATGCATCTGCCCAAAGCTTTCATGTTTTCCCTGAAGAGTCCTAAGTTCTTTTAGGAAAAGAACTGTGTATACCTAAACTCCACCAGTGTCCAGCATATAGCAAGAGTTGAACAAATGATTATTGCATGTCACTGGCCCTGAGTGAAATAACATAGCATACATAGTAATAAAAATGCAATAAAATATTTTTGGTACAAAAGTCAGGAGTTACAAATATGAAACTGTTTATATACCTTTGAAAACTGAATTATCTGTCTTTCTGCTCCCTTGTCTCAGATTTTGAAAATCCTGCCCAATGCTTTTAAAGCCTATTTTCATTCCTTGCCTTCTCCAGATAATACTCATACAATATATACCTTCTAATTCATCACTTCATTACACATTAATGGAAGATTGTATTTGTCATAATTCCCTGCCACACAAGGAAGAGGTATTTGCAGAGGTTAGAAAAAGACACATTGCTAATAGAAGCTATCAGCATAATGTTAGCACCTTTGCTGGGTCTCATCCCTGTCGCTCACTCTTCACTGTCATGCTTAGTAAAGCACTGTCTTGGGTGATTGTGACTAGACAATATATCTCTCCATTTTGTAACCCATCATGGAATTTCTTGGACGGCAACAATCCCTATTTATATAGTTTTTTATTAATCAGGAATCTGTAGTTGAGTAGACATACAATATATGTTCTGCCAAAATGAATATTCCTAGATTAAATAGACTTGGTCTCTAATTGAGTCAGACTCATGAGTCCTAGAATAAACAGTACTGCTCTAGAACTTACTATTATTTTGTGTGCATAACATCTTGATCCAATGTTCTTGTACCTGGAGCCATTTTAGTCTAAATGGCAATATTAAGGAAACAAGGTACTCATGTCCTGCATACTTGTATGCTCTTGGGTATAGAGGCATTTGTCCATTTCACAAAGCTTTCTTTTTATGCCCTGGAAACTGATTCTCACCATCACCTATTCAGGAGTAGACAACACTCTACATGCCAAGATGCTAATACAGTCATGTTCATGTCAGCAACTAGAGCAATACTAGCAACTAGAAATGCATTTATGAAATACTCCTTGAAAAGAAAAAAAGAGAGCAGATAGAAACAAATTCCTCATATTACATGAATTCCAACATTTTGCCAGCTGATAGTATCCTACATTACCATGAGTAGTTAATAGACTCCAAGTTTCCGTTTACTTAGAGAATTGTTAGGCAGCTGAATGAGACTCGGGCCCTTCAAAGAAAGGTAATGGAGGGAAGTTGGGGAACTGTATGAAACTGCATGGTTTGAGAGTCAGATTCAAAAATCCAAGAATGTTGCACCTGTTCTGTCTGCACTATAGTTTGGGTACAGCTGCCTAAGTATGGCTCCATGCAACTTGAATCCACTATACCACTGGTATCTGTGAGACTCAGCTTTGGGAGTATAAGGCTGTTATGAAGCAGCATATTGTTTCTGGCAGGAAATAAATTTTGATTCAATAATGTAAGAACATTTTTTGTCTTTTCAAGAGAGGTCTCCTCTCGGCCTGATGAACACAACCAGTCAAAAAGCAAGCATAATACATACTTGAGTTTTCCCTGAGATTCTAAGGGATGAAGTCTCCAAACAGGTTATGGATGGCCTCTGTAGCCTCAGAAACATTGGATGCCCCATGGACCGCGTTTAGCAGCTTGCTTATTCCAAATTGGGCTCGGAGGGAGTTTGGGGACAGTAGTGTTGCTTCCTCAGGGTCTACGGGACCCATCATTCGTCTCCAGTCTGCAATAGCATTCCACTTGGTCAGAATCAGGAGCAAAGACGAACCCCTGCAATGAAGAATGCTTTCAAGAAGGTGTAGGACATTCATGTTGAAGAACCTAGGTGTTTTCTGCCTTTTGTGATTCTGCCTTAATTGATTGACTGGGGGCTATGTGAACTCCAGGCCTGATAGTCTACGTGACACCTGGCAGGACACCTGGCAGGTCATGGAGGCAGACCACTCCTCAGGAAGGAGGTACCTGGTGTTTGATAAGATCCACCGCCCTGTAGCTCATCAATTTGTGCTTTTTCAAAGTTGCTTGCTTCAAACCCACCAGTAGAAGCCTGCTAAATCATGACTGTATAATTAATAGCCTAAAATGTATAAGAACACTGGGCTGTTCAACCGGGAGGCTTGCTCTCTCTCCTTCTCTTTTGCCCTCCCTGCGGATCCTGCAGCAGCCACAGCTACAGCTGCCCCTCTCCCGTCCAGCCCTGCTGGGCTGGGGGTGGTGGCTGGGAGACCTAGGCTAACCTGAATAAACCACATTTATGCCTTAGCACCGACTTCAAACTTGATGGTTTTCTAGGGATTTCCAAATCCGGCACAACAATGTCAGCAGAGTATACATGCAGCTAAAGTGAGGATGCCCCAGGTCTACTGGGAGATCACCTTTTTATTCTGTGTTATTATCATTGTGATTTTGTGATTTTTTTCACTACTTCCTCTTTCAAGAAGTCTTAGATTATATTGGTGCTGTAGTTTAAGTCTGGGGAATATTTGCCAATAGCATATTATTGTTTTTTGTGACTTTAGAGTTCAACATTTACTGAGTGCAGTGGCTCATGTAAGAGAACCTAAGTGGTAGATACTATTGTAATCCCCATCTTACAGATAAAAACTGCAGACACATGTTAAGTACGTTGGGCAAAGCAGGGACTTAAACCCAAAGGACCTCTAACTGTAATGTAAAGATCTGGAAGAAACAGAGAAAAGAAGGGAGGGAAGGAGGAAGTTGGGAAAGAGGGAAGAAGAGAGAAATATAGGGAGAGAATGAAGTAAATACAAAGAATAAATGAATGGTGGATGTCTTTTCAGAAGTGTTTTAATTAAATTTTATGTCAAAGTTTCTGGGAAGAACTTTTACCACTTCACAAGGCTAAGAGTTGTATTTCAGAAACTTACTCAGTTAATGTTGTCAACACATCTTTGTAAAAGTATTTTCCTGTTATTGAGAAATAGATTTTCTCTACATGCTCTGGTGTGAGGACCATTTCCTTCAGGTAGGTCAGAACAAATCCATTCTCCTTAATCAGTTTCAGGATCTCCTCTGGGGAAAACATAAGATTTAAGGATTAGCAGATAGCTATATACTTTTGCTCCTTATGCAGGTGCATTTAAATAATAAAAAAACAACAGCTTTATTGGCCTGTTGTGGTTTAAATTAAACCCACACTGTTTAATTAAGCAAAATGAAGCACCAGATTGACCTTAAGAAGTTAAACGTGTTAATACAAATGGTTAGCCTCTGAGATGCACCATTCCAGAAAGTACTTCAATAAGAAGGGACCTCCTATCGGGCCATGTCTTCATTGCCATGCCACAGATATTGAGGGATTTCTTGCTTGTTTGGTTTCAAGAAGCCAAGCTGTCTCCACTTTCTTCCTGAATAAGAGAGGCACCACAGTGGGAATTTACTATAGCCAATCTGGTTAAAATCTCACCAGTAACTCGAATGATAAGACTCCATTCTGGAGAAGAATGTTAATCCACTGGAAATCTGAGCACCTTCTGGAAATACAGTATTTCCTTCACTCCAGATCTAAAGTACTCAGAAGTCCTGGTCTGGAAACTCAAAGGGAGAATCAGCATAGTCAAGAGAAATTCTGAGGAGGGCTGAACTTCATCTGCTAGCAATAGGGTGGCCAGGGTTTACCCAAAGAGAGATGCTGTGGAGGTGAGCATGAAGAGAACATAAACTACTCCTCAAATCCAAATTGTCTCATCAGATATTCCTGCCTCTAAATGTATCATGAGACTGTAATCATTACTAATGAGAAGGATGTAAAAGATTCCTGGAACTACAACCAAGAAAACTTTGGAGTCTCACAGGGATATCGGGAATGACTTCTCTGAGATGTTGTTCTTGGTGTTAAGTATGGACAAGAAAAGGTACAATCATCAAGCAGAAAAGTTGAAAAAATGTAAGGCTAAGCAGGAGCATATAAAAATAGGTGAATGTTGGGCCCTGGCGCGGTAGCCTTGCAGCTTAAGTCCTCACCTTGAACGCTCTGGATCCCACATGGTCACCGGTTCAAGTCCGGGTTGCCCCGTTTCCCATCTAGCTCCCTCCTTGTGGCCTGAAAAAGCAGTCAAGTTCGGCCCCAACCTTGAGACCTTGCACCTCTATAGGAGACTAGGAAGAAGCTCCTGGATCCTGTGTTCAGATCAGTTCAGCTTTGGCCTTTGCAGCCACTTGGGGAGTGAATCAGTGGATGGAAGATCTTCCTCTCTTGTCTCCTCCCCTCCTCTCTGTATATCTGACTTTCCAATAAATAAATAAATAAATAATAACTTTTTAAAAAAATTGGTGAATATTGAGCACTTGCATATACAATTAAATATATGTTTACATACTTAAGAATTTGACTTCATTATACTAAAAATTTGTATTTTTTTATTACAAATTGAGTAAGTGCAGAGAATTCTCTGTTGTCCAGTGATGTTTTAGGGAGAGAAATCAGAACAATGGAATAACTATTTAAAACTAAAAATAAAAAAAGAAATCCAGGAATCAGAGAAGACATGAAAGCTATTATACTACTGGAAAAATAAATCTTTCATCATCACATATTAGACATATTTTATAAAACTGCTTGACGATTAAAGAACACCTTGTTTCCAGTAAAACACCTTGTCATTTGCAAAGGAAGGAATGTCTGTGCAGCCTCTGACTCTTGACAACAGAAAGTAATAAATGCTATATTGTTGTCCTTCTGTTTCCACAGGAGATTGGTTCTAAGATCCCCACAGATAACAAAATTGGTTCAAGCTCAAGTACTTTAAATATATATATTTACACATATATATGTATATATATTACACATATATATATTTACATATATATTTATTTACATTGTTTACATATATATGTATATATATTACACACATATATATATTTACACACACATATGATACCATATACATATTATATGCCGACATCATCCTCTATACTATAAATCATCTCTGTATTATTTATAATACCTAATACAAAAGCAAACACAATATAAATCGTTGTATGGTTAAGAAAATAATGACCAGAGAAAGTATTTGTGTATGTTCAGTGTAGATACCACTAATGTATGCCTAATCACTTATTGAAGCTGGTGACGTAAGTGCATGGACATCAAATTCACAGATAGACGGGACTAACTATATTCCATTGTTATCTAAATCTAAACCCACTCTCACTTCAGACTCAATGCAAAAAAAAAAAAAAAAAGCAAAGGAAATAAAATCCAAAACCAAATTTAAAACTGTACCATGTCAAGGGAGAATTTAAATAGGAGGAATAAAGATTCAAATTAGAAATTCAATCACATGATTTCCAGATTAGTGTAACTATGGAGAAAACAGTCACCACCAACTCTGCAAAGAAATTAAACAAAAGCTGATAATATTTTTAATAATGAAATTAGAGGAGAGCGAGCAAGTTAATTGTTGATTCTACCTGAAGGAATATGATTATTCTGGAAATTTAGTGAAAAATGTGTATGAAGACTTTATTTAAAAATATATTTACCTCTTTGTTCCTGTGTTACGTGAGGTTTAATCAATGCCAAAGCATTTTGCTCGGGAAAGAAATACTGTATCTCTCTTTCAGCTGTTTCTGGTGAGTTACTTCCATACAACTGGTTGAAAGGCAAACTTCCCATTGCAAACTGCGCACAGAAACTTTGGGAAAGAATTTTAAAACTGTCATAATAGTGTAATAAAGAATCATAATTCTATGTAAGTTACTCAAAATCATCAAGCAATGGAAACCCATTCCAGACCTATGTAATTTTAAAAAAGCAATTGCAAAGTGAGCCTTCTTTTAAGTAGTTAAAGTCATTGAAAAAAGAACATGGAGATTTAAATCATGATAATGGATGATGTTAACAGCTAAGTCTGGGGGTGAGGGGAAAAGAAATTGGTGCTCTGTGTAGTGAAAAAAGCTTAGAATTATAGAATCTTTGTTGTTCAGCCTAGTTACTATATAACATTGAGAAAATATTTAAACACCTTCTGCTTTGTCTCAAATATGAAGATGTTATAAAAGGTGACTTTAAGTATACAATCAGATGATGTATTTGAAAGGTACAGTGCATAACAATCTCAATATTTCTTCCCTAGCTTTCACCGTTGACTATTATCAATAGTAGATAGTATTTGACTTTATCTTAAACATAACAAATTAGAAACTGTGTATCCAGGAAATACTATAATGTAGTCTTAAGATGAAGAGGCACAGCAATTAAAGAAGAGATTTTTTTGGAAAGAGGCAGGAGGAAGGTTGATGGTATTGGACAATCAACATTGTGTTGTATCTGCTTCCTTTTCTATAACCAAATAGGTTATCTCCTATATCAATTTTCCCTGCTTGTTATTTTTACAAATGTCTTTTTTTCTGTCTCTGTCTACCAATGATGTTTCAGTACATGAGATATTGATGTTCATTTCATTTGTTTGTGCTTAACACATCCTGAGCACCCAACTCAACAATATCTACTACAGAGACACTGTCCCTTTTTTCTAAAGATGTGAATCTTTACATCTCTGGAAAGCTGGATTCCTGTCCTCAGCTTCAAGATCCTCTTCTTAGTTCTCTGCTTTCAATGACCATTTAGAGTTCTTTTCTAACTTATCCAGCTAGCCCTGTTCAGTGAGTCGGGCTGAGTTAGTCTCCACAACTCTACTTTGGAGATACTTCTATCCCAAGTCCCTGGGTGCATATGATTTGTCAGCAGTGGGCAGTTTGCCAAAGTGATTAAAACAACCAAAGTCAACATCAGTACTTATTTTGTTCCATAGAGAGCACTGTATCCAGCTCCTCTGTTTATGGATAAACAAGATATTTGGGGGAAAAAAAAAGATCTTGAGGGGTGAGATATGGTGAAGAATGGGATGGAGGCTATAGGGGGTGAGTATGAAGGGTTATGCAAGCGATCATATTTCAGAAAAAGCAATGTAGAATCTAGAAACTAATGCAGAAAGCAGATGAAACTCTGTTGGAAGAGTTATTTCTATAATAATATGCAAGGGCTGGGTAGAGCCAAACAAGCTGAGGAGGCAGAAGTCAAAATAGTAGTCAAGAACTTAGGGGAACTCTCACTATAATGGGCAGAAAGAGGAGTCCCTAGAGAAAATGTCTGGGTACTCACATAAGATTGAATTGTAGTCTATCCGAAAGATGGCATTTCAATTTATACAGAAGTGGTGCTTTATTTGTACTCTACCTTTTGTTTCTATCAGCTACGTGTCAAGTCTGGAGATACTCGAGACACTAACTTCATTCTTTGGAAGAATTGAAGCCCAATAACTAGGACTGAAATGAAACAAAGCCATGGAAAGGATGCTGCCTATGATCCAAGCAAGAGGCCAGGTGTTGAGTTGATCACACTTAGCTACTTCTACAATTCATCAATAAATGAACTCAGCAGCTGTTCTCACCAAATGGCAAGGTAAATATTCAATTAATCATCATAACACTGATGCTCTAATGGTTAATTAGACAACTTGAAGCTGCCATACAACCCTTCTCAAATGGATTCCTTCTAAATGATAGGCCTATTAACTGGCTGTCCACGTCTTAGTTCCCAGACTAGATATCCATCAACATTCTCTTGGAAAATCATGATCATTGCTAAGCTAGTATCCGACTGGATCACTAGTTAAGAACAGTCTGCTGCTTCCCCAGGAAAAGGCTTTCCTGGGAAGATCTCTCAAATTAGAGCTTTGGGTCCTGTATTCCATTATTGAAAAAGAATTGAAATGAATCCCATGAAAAAACTTAGGGACTTAGGGTATGAATCCTACCTGTCTGGAAAGTATTCATTAGCTTTTTCAACTGTTTTTGGACCCAGTAACTGTTGCCAGTATTGCACACCATTTTCTCTCAATAAAACTAGGGCTAGAGATGGACCGCTGTTTAAAAAAAAAATCATTAGTAAAATCTAGCTCATTAGCTAGTAACACACACTATTAAATAGACTAAAATATGGAAAATAAGTCTTCTCTTAGGGGTTTGAGATTACTTTTTGTTGGTATAGTTTTAAGAGTCTTTTTATAGAAGTTTGCAGAGAATAAAGGGCAGTTAGGATCTTTGTTCTTTTCAATTTCATTTTCTAAATAAAATTTGACATTTCACCATCATCTGTAAATAGAGTTAATAAAACATCACAAAATGGTAAGATTTCATAGGTTTAGATGTATGTGTGTTTAAATACCATGGATGTCGGAAATTTTTAAATATTGTTATTCATGGACAAGAATAATTGTTAAAAGACCTAAAGTATTCTATTATTCAACAGTACATCACAACTTCTCAATAGCAACCATTCATACAGAAGACTTAGAAATAAGTAGTAGTTACTCAAATTATCCTAATTTGTTTTCATATTTTATACTTGAAGCCACAATACTGATAATTTAGGTCCCTGCGGCAACATATTAATTCCAGCACTGATGTGCTTAAGTGGCCTGCATCGAGTACAGAAAACTCGTCCCCCAGTGAAAGGTTTCAAAATACACTGTAAAAACTCTGAGAAAATGTCATGACCTATATGCTGGAGCTGAGCCTTTGGCAGCAGATGTTAAAAAAAAAAACTGAAAACAAAGGTGTTTCTTGGGCTTCGTGTCCTTTGTCTTGATCTCCTACCTCAGGAGGCATTTCAGAGGCTCGCAATCAGAAGTTGGAGATGCATCTTCCCTTCCTTGCCTCCAGGGATGCTGCTGATACACTGATCACCAGGTATTATTCTTCTCAGCCACTGGTTCTGTCAAACCCTGACCAGTTCTTTTCTTGGTTTTGAGCCAGATGGGTTTTCAGCAGCAACCATGACTCCCCTTTGGCCTTTGGGAGTCCTTTCATGAATGTGTCCGTGGCTAATGGACTTATTTGTACCATGCTGACTCTGCATCATTGCGTTCAGTGGTCACTTCCTCCCAGGATCCTTTGTGGAGATCTTCAGGTCTTGTCGGATGCTGTTTCCTCAGCATCTTTGCTTTCCTTTTGCCTCTGCTTTTCTTTCAGTTACTCTTGTAGAAACTTGACAGGTTTCCAGCTTTTCCTTTCTTCCCTTTGATGAGTGGTCTGTAGGATTGCACAGCCTAAACTCAAATCAGAGGAGCTGGCAGGCCAGTCCATTCTCTGTTTGCGCGTGGTGCTGTTACACACTCTCTGTCTGTCAGTTGACTCACATGGCCACCAGCAAATTCTTCTGGGCCTTCCCTATGACTCTAGCAACTTCCCAGAGAAACCAAAGAAAAAGAGTGAGGCAGAGTCCAGATTGGGGACAGACAGGCCAAGAACAGACACAGCAGGTGTTGGGGAAATGAACAATATTAAAAGAAGGTATAAAAATTAATCAGCATTGTGCTCTCCTTTTTAGCTTATATGAGGGATAATATGCTGTATTTGTCTCTCTATGATTGGCTTATCTTATTATTTCATGTCCCTTGATTCCACTGATTTTGATCCAAGTGACAGGATTTCATTCTCTTATAGGATTATATAATGTACCATTATATGTACATGTATATTTATTTATCTAGGGAAGATAGAGGAAGGTTAGATAAGGGGCATGGAAAATCAGTTGGAAGAAATCAGTTCTAGTGTTCTGTATCAGGGTACACTGACTGTAATTTATAGTATCCCATTATGTACTTCATGGGAGCTACAAGAGGAGTTTGAAGGTCTGATAATTCCTGATTATCCTGATTTGAAAATCACACATTGTATTAGAGGATACTTAAAAAGTTCTTGGGAAAATAGAATTGAAAGATAAACTTGTTTCAGTGTAAAAATTTATTATTTGAAATCCATATATATGAGGAATATTCAAGTAATTCATAGAAAATGCATAGCATGGAAAACTTATGCAAGGGCTTAATGCATAGTATATATATGTATGTATATAATTATGTATACATATAATTATATATAGAATTGTACTGCACCACAAAAATATGTGCAACTACACCTATGTCAACTAAAAAGCAATTAATAAAATTAAAATTAATAAATTATACTATATTTCCTAAACATGAGTTCTACCTTACCTGGTCATATATTCTGTAAGTTGCTCAAAATATTCTTCATTTTCATATCCCTTGCACAGTGTTTGTGCTTCTTCTTCTGATAATACTATTGACCTTTGCATCAGTATCTTAAAGCCTTCATCTTCAATAATATTCAAAACATCATCTAAATTAAAATTTACATAAGTTTTAAATTGACAAGTTACCGATTATACTCACAGTATTGATTATATAGTATCATAGATAATTAACTCTTTTCATTGTTGTGTGAAATTTAAACGCTTGAGAAAGTTTCTTAGATTTGAATTTAAGGTGAACAATACTTACTCGCATATCAAATCAAATAGTGTTTCCAGTTTTTCTATCCCGTATGAATTACATACAGATGAAAGTATTCAGTAAATATTGGGTGGAAATGCACACTTGTGGGTGTCTGTGTGTAAGCATAGATAGTAATCTAAATAACCACTCAAAACAGACATAGAACTCTTCATATCTTTATATTCAATACTTTGATATTTGTCCCACTATAAGAGAAATGGGTTGATTGGATTCCCCCATCTTTCTCCCTTTCTCTTGCTTGTTTCCCATTATAGAAGTCTGAAAAATCCAAAGTTCCCATCTCATCTTCCCTTATGAATAGCTTGGAAATTTGATACAGATGCAATCAATGGCATCTAAAGGAACAATCATGTGGATGGTTGAGTGGAGGTTACACTTACCTGTGTTTCCTAGGATTAAAGTGTATTTCAGTGCTTTTAAAAATCATTAGAAAAGCAAATTTTAAAAGTGTCACAAGTAGACTAGTAGATTTGCATGAATAAAATTTACATTCAATAGATACACTAAGGCAAAATGTTAAATATACTAAAAATAGGATCAAGACCCTGAAATATAGAAAAAAACTTGTTCAAAATAAGGAGAAACAAACTAAATCCTGAATAGTAGGACTTGACCAGCAAATTCTAAGATGAAAATGATTTCATATGTATTTAACCAAAATATTTCATTTTCTGGAGCTGCCGTTGTGGTGTAGCTGATAAAACTGTCACCTGTGGAAACCAGATACCAACTCCCTGCTACTTTGCACTCTGAGATGCAGTTATTGTGGTCCAAGTGCCTTTGTCCCTTCCTCACATGTGGTGGATGTAGATGGAGTTCCCACTTCTCAGCTTTGGCCTAGCCTGGTCCAGGTCGTTGTGTATTGTGGGCATTTAAGAAAGAAATCAGCAAATGATAGCATCTCTATGTGCACACACATGTATGTGTCTACCCACAGATTCAAAAATATAATAATAATAATAATCTTATTCTGCTTTATTCCATGGGAGAAGTTAAGAAGGACTAGTACTAAAAGTACCAAGTAGTTTTGTAGTATTTGTATATATATATATATATATATATATACACACAAAATATATGCATATATTTAATTTTAATATTCCAAATTTTACAACTGAAGAATTGGATTTGGTAAAGTGTCTTGACCAAGCCACCTTATTAATTCAAGTTGACACAAGCATTGGCTTATGATCTTTCAAATGTGAAAGCTTGCAATTTGTGTTATGTAATACTTCCTGAAATATTGAAATCTATTTGAACAAGCACACAGATTAGAAAATGCCTTATAAACAATTAAAAATGTTTTACTCATTATTATTGAGAAAGTAGTAAGTTGAATTTCTTAGTGAAGGTGCTTTTTCATCAATATTAAATTGTAAAATAATTTATTTTAGCATAAGTATAATGAGATTCATTCAAATTTCATCTACAAATGATTTAAATAATTTATGCTTTATTTCCTACCTTTTCTTTCTTCAAAGAGATTTGGTAGAAGTAATGCCAGAACTTTTTCTAGTTTCTTGCTTTTCATTATTTTAAAATCAGGAAAGAAAATATCAATTAACTGAGTATCATTGTATACATTCCTTTCAACATCACAAAACTGAGCCATGTTCTGTTTTTCCAGAAGTTCTTGTAAACTGTTGAAATCCAAAATGTAATTTCAGATTATTAGAGAGCAAAGTTTAATAACCATGTCAGCAAACTAAAACTAATATATTCAAAAAATTACTTTGAGTTTAGTAAAAGTGAATTTTCTGTAAAGGTAAATTTTAACTTCAGATAATATCTGAGAATATTTAATTCAACTTTTTGAAACCATTCCAAATGTAATTGTATGTTATTGTCTATCTTTATCTCTAATACATATGTGTATATACAAATTCAGTTATATGCTATTATATATCTTCATATTTAGTACATATATAGATACATACATACATGTACTTTTTTTTCTTTCCTCAACCTACCATTTTCCAGATAGTTTCTTTTTTCTCTTGTTCTTTATCTTTGAACCAAGAATTATTTAGCAATACATTTCACATTCTCAAATTAACAATTTTAATCACCTTTTTAAGTGTATATCTTCTTTCTTTGGAATTTCCATTTAATTTTTTAAAATTTAAGTTTATTTATATAAAGAGAACAAATTTCGTGTATTCATACATACAGTTTTAAAAACAGCATGATATTCCCTACCCCACCCTCCCTCCCTCACTCCCATACTTGCTTCTCCTTCCTTTTTAATTTTTCAAATAATATACTTTGCTTTGTTTAAGTATTTATTTTTTATTGCAAAGTCAGATTTACAGAGCAGAGACAGAGAGAAAGAGCTTCCATCTGCTGGTTCACTCTCCAAGTAGCCACAATGGCTGGAGCTGAGCCAATACGAAGCCAGGAGCCAGGAGCTTCTTTCAAGTCTCCGACACGGGTGCAGGGTCCCAAGGCCCTGGGCCGTCCTCACTGCTTTCCCAGCCCACAGAGAGGGAGCTAGAAGGGAAGTGGAGCAGCCAGGATACAAAATGGAGCCCATATAGAATCTCAGATCATGCAAAGAAAGGACTTTAGGCAATAGGCTACTGCATTAGACTCCCAATAATGTACTTTGAATTTACCTTATAATCACATGATAATCTGCCACTAAACAAAGAATTCAACAAGTAGTAAGTAGAACAACCACTGTCCCTCAGGAGTATATACAAGAGCTATACATGGTAATCAATCTCAGAATGTCAGTTTTGCTGATACACATTACGTTTTTCATATGTTTTATATTTTAGTTACCACAAATAGAGAAAGCATATGATTTTTGTCTTTAAGGGACTGGTTTATTTCATTAAAGCAAAATAGTCTGCAATGGCATCCATTTTGTTGCAAAGAACAGGATTTCATTCTTTTTATGGCAGAATAATATTCCATTGTGGATACAAACCACATTTTTTTTCTCTAGTTGACAAACATCTGGGCTGATTCGGACATGTTGTGACTTGAGCTGCTATAAATGTGTGAGTGCAGATAGAGACTTGGTATGCTGATTTCATTTCCTTTGGGTAAATTCCTAGGAATGGGAAACTGGCTCATATCAGTAGATCTAGATAGTAGGAATGGGATGCTAGGTAATAAAGTAGAAAATGGATTGGGGCGGGCACCGTGACGCACTCAATTGGCTAACCTCCACCTGCAAGCACCAGCAGCCCATATGGACACCAGTTCTTGTCCCAGCTATGCATATCCATTTGTCTGCTGGGAAAGCAATCGAGGATGGTCAGAGACTGCCTGCATCAGCATGGAGAAGAAACAGAGAGAGAGAGAGCAAGCGAGAAAAGAAAGAGAACGGTTCAAACATTCTGGTAAAAAATATGCTATCCTGTTTTTAACTAAAAGGCAAGACATTGGTTATAACCAGCAGGTCTACACCTATTCAAGAAAAGCTATGGCAATTCCACATAAGTCTTTACAGTTCATTAATAAGATAAATGAAAATCCAACCAGAAAATGCAATAAACACGAGTTGTCCACTAGAGGGAGACACACTCCGAGGAGCCCAGGACTCTAATCTCAATGGAAATTTTTATTCACCCAACTCTCAGGCACAGCCCAGGTGACTTTTGTGAAAAACTGGATTCTGTGAGTCTTGCAAGGAATATATGACAGCAGGTAAAGCAAAAATTATGCAAATTTTTTGCTTTAAAGTATTGAAAATTTCAGACACAATTATGCAATCAGGAACTTATAACCACCAAATACCTTAAGTTTAAGAGTAAATTTGATATAGGTAGGGCACAGAGAAGGTGGAAGTGGGGTGTGGGGAGGTGTGAGAGCAGACTGGGCCCTTCAAGAATGTCAAAAAATAAAATCATAAGTTATTTTGGTGTAATAATTTTGAAATTGTGCAAATGAGAAAATTTCCCCCAAAAATGTACATTATGAACAAACTATGCACGAATTTCAAAGTTTTCTTGGCACCAAAATAGCATTCCCTTTTTAATTGTATTTTGCTGTGAACTTGTTGAAGTACCTTCACACGTTATAGTTTAGGTTGACTAGAAAAACTAATCTACAGTTTCAACATAAAAACATAAGGATCAGTGTGATAGCCTAGTGGCTGAATCCTCACCTCGCATCCACAAGGATACCACATGAGCACCAGTTTGTGCCCTGGCTGCTCCACTTCCCATCCAAGTCCCTGCTTGTGGTCTGGGAAAGCAGTGGAGGATGGTCCAAAGCCTTAGGACCCTGCACGCACCAACATGGGAGACCCAGAAGAAGCTCCTGGCTCCTGGCTTCAGATCGGCTGAGGCCACTTAGGGAGTGAATCAACAGATGGAAGATTTTTCTCTCTGTCTCTACTTTGCTCCATAAATCTGATTTTCCAATAAATAAATCTTTAAATATATATATATATGACATTCGGCTTTGAGATATTCAGACATTGCACTGTAACACCTACTTTATGACAAAATCCCTACTCCTGAGCTACCTGTTCCGCGTCCCCTTTGTAGCTCCAGCTATGGACTTATCTTCAGCTTCTGGTGGCCCTTCAGCCAAGTCTTTAGATTCAGCCTCAAGCTGAGACTCACTTTCTTCCCAGGAAACTGCTGGTTCATTTCTTTGAGACAAAACTAGAACCCAGCTTACGCCACTTGTCATGAAAGAGACAAACTCTTCAAAGTCAGGCTGCAACACAGAATGATCAGATATGAATACCGAGAAAGGCACCGGGAACTGTTAGTTGATTACATTTACTCCTTTGCTTTTCTAGAATGAAAACCTAGAGCTTACAGGAGTTATGGTGTATGAATAGATGGTGGCATTGTTGCTTTTTAATTTTCTTACCTGATCTTCCATCTGTCTGTAAAAGTTTCTAACTTGTTGGCTGGTGAGCAGCATCTTTTCCTGTGCTTCTATGGCAAATCCTGCATTGGCAATCTTCCATTACAGAGCAGGATCAGATCCAGATGTTTCATGGGATCACATGTAAAACAAGATAAGGATGTTTGCATCCTGGGCTTAAGGAACCAAATAACTTTTTATCTTATTACACGCTAAGACCTCAGGCAGCACAAACACATTTTCCTCAGTACTTGGATTTTCAAGACTTGAAACAGAGACCCCAAAGTGTTCCTACTAGAGTGAATTGCCTCAAAATGTGGAAAAAACCTGAATGACAATTAAAAGGCAGCACTCATTTCTGAATTATTGACAATACTCTTGCACATGCTTCTAGATCTTTTTTTTTTTTTTAAAAAAATACTACATTAACTTTCTCCTTTTTTGGACTTGATTTGAAAAGCCTACACCCCAGAGTCTATGAGGCAAGATGCAATTTAAAATTCAATCGAGATTTATTTATTTTAATGGAAATTTGACGCCAAAATTTATTTTGCATGCCACTCAAGTGTAACAAAATGTAGGGAAGAGAAATTTTCATACAAGTAGTAGAAATATGCAATCATATAAAAGTAGAAACTGGGCTCAAGGAAACTGAATAATTGCCCTATTTAACACCAATCAAGTGCACGTCATTTCATCCGGGGATAGCCAGTGCCACATACATTGGGCTTCTGTTATGAAAAACAAACCTCAATCTATTCCATGGTCTTATAACATTACAGAGTACTGCTTCCGTCTCAGTGATCCTTTGCTAATGCATATTTCAATATGAACAGCTCTATCTCTGAAACTAAACTAACTCTAAATTCTGGAACTCTAAATCACATCTCTGTCATGCAGTGCCTAGTAAGAGAAAATGAATTCCAAGCAACATTTCTATCTGATAATTTCTTCACTGTCGCTTTAAAAACACCTGGTAGGGGTTTTGTTTGTTTGTTTGTTTGTTGTTTTTTCAATTTGAAGCATTTCTTATTTTTCTGTTCTACTGTATAGCAGCATTTTACTGCAGTCTAGAGAAATGAGAAAGTCAGTACTATCAACTATAGCTCTGAAGCATTACTTACTTATGTCAGAACATCCAAAAGTTAACATGAGCTGGTGAATAGTAGTATTGCTTTCAACTAGAAGAATTATGTGATTTTGAAAACTTTCAGCATTGGAGGCTATGAACACATACCATCATTAAGTAAGCTATTGTATGTGACATTATTTTGATAGGTTTTATAAAATATAAGCAATATCTCACGGAATGGGGTATAGCCTGGTATAATCTTCCAGCTAATAAATCAATGTCTGGGAAAAAGAGCTATACTTATAGTGATATTGGTTAAATCAACATGCAAACAGGAGAGACAGGATATGTGCGATGATTTATGCACTGTATGTTGTAATGTAGTTGGATTGATAGTGGTGTTACTACAGCTAAGGAACAAAGGTGTGCTGGGATGTTCACCAAGAGCCATCCAAGCTCCTCCACAGTCCCCTCTCCTATGTCACGTGATTCTCTGTGTTGGCCAGGCATCAGTCTCTCAAATTTCAGTAAAAAATTGTTATTTCAGCATCAGGTTTTTGTAACAGGGTTAGCAAAAAACCTAGCTTATCAACAACAATCTGCACATCAACTCTTTTTATAATAGACCATATTAGTGCAGAGTCATACTGATTCATTTACATACTGTTATTGCTACTGCTTTGACTGTGAAATCAGAGAGAAGCGCAGTCATGCATGGCTTATCAACAGTGTTCTGGGAAGCACCTCATTAGGTGATTCCATCCTCATGCTCAAAGAAAGCTAGATGCTATAGATCTATATTTCATGTAAGCTCAATGTAATCAAGAGCAACTGTATATACAAGATGACACACAGCTAATAAGTACAAGGGGTAGAGTCTTACAGCATAGTCAATACATAGACCAGCGACATGATCATTTATTGTCTTTGTCAAGTACTCTATATTGTATAGACATGTATGATTGCATGTGATCAGATATGCAGTAGATTTGTTTCCACAAGCACATGGGTAATGTATTGTGCTAAGACATTAGGGTGATTACCATGTTACTGGGCAACAGGAAATTTTTAGCATCATTGAAACTGTCTTCATAAATACAATTAATGATTGACTGAAATGCTGTTTTACAGTACATGGCTATAGTTGTCAGAGACCTTGCCCAGAGAAAACTTAACAGTAGTTATTATTATTTGACTTCCACAAGAAATGCTTGCTCATCTCTGAATTAGGATATAGCTTTCCTTCACAAAAAGCTTAATTTTTGTCTTTAAAACATTAAATATTTCCTTAAGCTATCATGAAAAAGGGATTATATGTTTGAAATACGCAGGAAATAAGTTAATATGAGTTTTTAGCAAGATTGCATTGCTAATAATTAAATTAAAAACTACAGTTTCATATAAGAACTATCAGTTCTATAATTTATATAGAGTTCTGGCACATCGAGGTTGTTTAAAGAATGGTACATGAGTAGACAGAGCCCAAGTGAAGACATGAAATGCTCAAAGTCTTTAGAAATTCATAATGTTCAGTTTTGCTCTAAAATTGATTCAAGTTGACAATCAAGGAGTTGTGCTTTTTGCAGTTAGTTTGAATTGTTGTTGGGAAATAGTACTCACTGTGTCCTTAATTTCTAAAGCTTTTCTAACCATAGCATCAGGTTTGATAATAACAATTGTGTATTGGTTCTCTAGGGAAAGAATACAAGATTTAATGTTTTGGCACAAAATCTAAATAATGAAGGGCATTGCTATTTTGCATATACATCTTTAACATTCAGTAAATTTTTGTCTACTAGTAGTTTTGTATTTTAATAAGGTATTCCAACTCTCAAAAACTTCCTACTTAGAATCAAAGTGCAGTTCCTATAGCTGCATTTCAAGAAAAGCATTCACAATAAACAAAGATATGTTCAGCAGGCAAGGCACTGGAGAGTGGAATGAAATTCACATGCATTAAAATCATATCCGTGATCCCATCCAACTTAATATTGCCTTTCTATTTGTACATTATGCAGTTAAGTAATACAGATGAACTGACACAAATCTATCTACTTTTTTATCATGAGTTGTTGGTGCCAGATAGCTCACTGAGTATGGCTATTGACTTCACTCTCTCCAGAAATAGAATACACACACACATGCACACACACACCACGTGCAAACACCCAAAGAAAATCCAGTGAGGGCATGAGATGGTTAAAAATAAAAAGAAGCCCAAGGTCATTGTCATGAAGGAAGATGTCATTCTGACACATTTGGCATATGATGAAAGGTGAAATAGGAAGCTGTTGTCAACTTTACTTGCAGGACACCATAATATATGGTTCTGGATAAACTATGAGACTCGGGATTCAGAGACCAGGGGTATAAGGTGAAGCGAGCAGAAGAGCGTGCCTTTGGGTCAGCAAGTCATGCAAGACAGGAATCATTCATCTGAGCAACCCCTCGTGGATGAATGTTGATGGTATCTACTTTTTGTTGCTTCAAGTGAGTTGTAATTAACACCCATGTTGAAAACAAATCCTTGCCATTCCTTTAAAGCAAATTGACTTACCAGTCATTGCAGCAGGGGCTTGCCCATCCTCTTCTGAGTCTATTAGAGCAATTTCATGATACTATGAAGGAGAATTGCAAGGGAAACATAGTTAGGTTTTGACATGACAGTGAAAGAGTATTTGCAAACTTAGTTTCTTGTGATTATTTATAAGTTAAGACTTAGAGGGTAAAGTGGAAAGTTGCCCGGTTTTATCTAACACTCCTAAATTTTCCACAGGATTCCAATGAGGAATATTTAAATGGAGAGAATAGGAAGCACTCACAAATAATGTATTTTAAAATATGAAAAGGATAAAATAAAATCTTTAATACACAAGAAAAGCTTAAGGGTTTAAAAAATTAAATCAGCTGTAAATACGTGAGCACCATGTTAAAGATCAAAGGAGCATTGACAAGCCTCAAGATCTATTCTTGGCTGTTATCTTGATAAATTTGGAACCAGATTTCTCCTTATTTACAATATCATGTTCAGTGTCAATATCCTATAAAAGAATAAAATTCTAGGAAAGGCAAGTGCTCTTGACTTCTCAGGATTTCCTGAATCTTTCTGTGAGCCCGTGAATGATCTGAAAAGTTTCCTTTTTAAGTAAACATGTATACACATGAATATGTTTGGTAAAAGAATGCATAGTTTCAGATTCTCCTGTGGTATAAGGATGCAAACGTATTTTCCATTTTTGGAACAAGAAGGAATAGTTTCAGATTCTCCAACAGCATAATCTAAAAAGTTAGCATTTTTTTTTTTTTGGCAAGAGAATGCGTAAGTTCAGAATTTTCAGTGGAGTAAAGACACAAAAATGTTGGGACATCACCACCCCTGAAAGCATTCACCTCTATAACGACAGCCTGCTTGTGTTTGTTAGACTTGGGCCAGCTACTAGGGCAAGCACTGACCACATGAGCCTAACTTAAGCACTGGAAATGAAGGTAGCCCAAATAAAGATGGGATATTTGCATAAAATACATAGGGGATGCCGGCATTGCAGATGGAGTTTTTGCTTGCTATGCCACAAAGCTGGTCCTTGACGTCATTATTTTTAATACTCTAGATAACAAAGTGATAAACTTCCCTTTTTATTTTTGCCTTATTTCCCTAGAGTAAGCTAATGATGAGTGATTTTCAAGGATTTAATTCAAGAATTTAATTGTCAATCTTCCAAGACAGGTTGTACCTTTAGACATCTAGACAGTTACAAAGTTAGGAAAATGTTTTAGGGAAACAATGAAAAGATAATTTAGTTTAATATGTAGAGAAGTTGCTAATCCAAAGTATTACCTGAGGACGAGGCATTTCACCTGCTGCAATTTTTCTCTCATCATTGATCAAGTTAATTATTTTTTTACTAACAAGTGGTGCATTTGCACCTTGAATTTTTGCAATAATTTTTCCGTTCTGAAAGTGAAAAGGAAAACACGAAGGATGTTTTCATTCTCAGAATAATTCATGAACTGGCACTCAATCTGTACAAACTCACCTATTCTTGGTACACATCAATCCGTTTTTAAAGCTTAATGCAGTTAATGATGTGAAGGTGGCATTGATGTGATTAACATGGCTCTTTGAACTTGCCACTAAAAATGTCCATCTTCCCACAAAGTCATGGCAGCATCATCCTTCAGCAGCTGCAGAAGGCAAGTCGCTGCCCTGCCAGAGTACCCCCTGGCAATCCCTCTGGAACCTTCTCTGCTTTCAATGGGAAAGATCGTGGCTTTGTCTCCTAACATTACCCTCCCTAGTTACTACAGAGATGTGTCTCTTTTTTTGTCCATTTCCAATCCATATTTACTAATTATCGTTTATTTGCACTGTACCAAAGAGACATAATGATAATTGGAACCTGACCCAATTAAATTACAAAAAAATAATTCTACAAAAATAACACATGGTGCCTAGCAACCATGAGAGGTGCCAACTTACCCTGAAACCCAAGTCCTAACACCTTACTGGTGATATCAGAATGTACATTATCAACACAACCAATGGGCAGCCTGCTGTTACCAGTATGAGATAGGACTTGGGACTGGGGTAAGATTTTGAGCCACAAAATGAGTAGAGCTGATTTGAAGCTCAGTAAAAGAGAAGTGAAATGGAAGAGAAGGAGACTTAAGAAGCAACAAAGTTATTGAAAATGTGAGGTGAAAGAAGGACACACCAATTCTTTGTGTCTCCGAGAAATACAGTGTGAGAAAACAGTCACAACTTCTGGGCTGCTGGCTAGGAGCCAGATCAAGTTGAGGAAGGGGAGGAGAAGCTCAGAATACAGTCCGACACTTAAAGAGTTTGCTGTTTTGATTCCAGATGTTACACAATGAAACTCTGGGAGATAAGGAGCACTGGGGGAATAGGTCAGGAAAAGAAGTGTGTGGCCGGGAAGAACTATGGGTTTCTTCTTCAGGAATTAATTTTAGGAATTGGAGATCAGGGCTTGAGTCCTTTGGCTGAGTCTGACTCTAAAGGCAGGGTGACAGCAATCCCAGAGTTCAAGACTCTATGTGTAGTGCACCTGTTCAGTCTTTCCCCCTTCATCCCTGGCTCCCTGATACCCGCTGCCAGGATTTCCTCCCTGTTCCATCAATAGATCAGACCCATTTCTGCCACTGTGTGGGCTCACATCCTAGTTCCTTAAACCACTGCTAAGCCAGAGGTCAGTAAACTGTCACTTTATAGAGATGGCATTTCCATGATGCTGAAAACAGCTACTGTCTGATTCGTTACAGAAAATGTTGTCTGAACGAGGAGGAAACAAGGAGGAAGTGTAAATACAGAGATAATAGAGCAGTGATCTTAGAGATGGTTTCCTGTAGGATACCCAGGAATAAACAATTCTCTCATGCTATTTCCAGATTTTTTTTTCACTCCTTTAAGTAGCTCATTGTACAAATCTCTGATGGTTTCCTTAGCAAAAACATTATTCTATTTTTCTTTTCAGCGATCAGCTCATTATAGGCTCCTACAAGTTGAATTATGAAATATATTATTAGACAAGCAAAGACAGTGCAAACAGCGTGCAATTACTATCATCAGCAAACAGCCCATGGTAATTTTACAATGCTACTTGCCCTTTAACTGCAAATTGGACTCTGATAAACAATTGAGATGGTAAATATTACACGTACAAGACTGAAGAGAAAAACAGGTTCACATTTATCTCTAAATGGCTGCAAAGTCGCAATGCTGTCAGCTTCTGCCTGAAAAACAAATGATAAATATTTCATACAGCGATAAAGCAAAGTCGACCCAAATCTTTTGGTATGCTACATTTAAGCCACACAGAGGTACATGTGTTTTTATTTTTGTGCTTAGGACAATATTGGAGTGTTGCATTTCTGTTAAGGGTCAAATGACACAAAGTGGTCATTCAAGCACTGAGTCATTTGTCCTCCACCTTACCTCTGGGCCTTCCCCTTTCTGGCCTCCAACCTCCATCTAGCCAGACTCTTCTCACTGTCTCCTCCTCCCCCAGGGCCTGGGTTTGCCTTTCCCTTTCCAAGTGAGCTCCTCCCCCCAAGGCGTCTGAGTCGGTTCAACTGCACAGCACCTCTTACTCTCCCTAGCAGTTTACCACTCCTCTCTCAGGACATCCTTTGTCCCTTTTTCCCACAACAGAGGTAGAGTGCTCTGACTCCCTCCATTCAAAGGACAGCAGCGTGTTCAGAAACGGCAGGGTCTGTGTCTACCTTTGTATCTCAGTTCTCGCTCATGTCCACCTGGGGACTGTGTGTAAAAACAAGCTTATTAAATGAATTGGTAGTCACATCTTATTATTTTTGAAGGTTTATCTACCCATTTATTTATTTGAAATGTAGAGTGACAGAGAAGACAGAGAATTTTTCCACCTGCTGGTCTACACCCCCAATGGTCACAAGGGACAAGTATGGACTGGGCTGCAATCAGCAGCCAGAAATTCTATCTTGGTCTCCAACATGAGAGTCAGGGTTCCAAGCACTTGGTCCCTGTTCCACTGCCTGCCTGAACACATTAGCAGGGAGCTGGATTGGAAGCAGAGTAACTGGGACTTAAACTGGTATTTGGACAAGGGATGTAGACATTGCAAGCTGTGGCTTAGCCCACAGCACTACAACACTGCCCCAGTAGTCACAGCTCAAAGTCTGATTTTTATGTTTCAAGTTTTTTAACTTTTCATACAAATTCCAAAAGTGACTAAAGAGAACTGCACTTTGTTCTGTGTTAGCATACATGTACTCTCCCTGGTTCCGGTTATCAGGGCGAGATGGATGTGGAGGGCCTTCCCTAAGACTGTGACTTAACAACAACCATTCATTCCTCACACATCCGGCAGCGGCCGTCTGAGAGGAGTGAGACAGCAGTTAGGTTCTTCCTGGGAAAGTCTTCACTTGGAGGAGATCATGTCTTCCCCATCCAATAATGACATTGACCTTACCCTAATTACCTTCCAAAGAACCACTTCCAGAGACCATCACAACGCTGATAACAATTTCAATGCATGAATTTTGCAAGCTGTATCAGAAGCAGAGAAGCCAGATCTCAAAACTGCACCCTGATAGGAGATGCCAGCGTCATCACTGGCAGCTTAACTTGCTGTGCCAAAACCCAGTCCTACTACTTTAGCCATTTGAAAAGGCAAAAAGCTTAAAGAAAATTGTTCTAAGTAATTCGGGGTAATTTTAATTAGTTATCAGTCTCATAGGTTTTCTTTTGGGGCTTGAAAGTTCTTCGAGGTCCAGAAGAGGGCGCCTGTAAGTTGTTGCTTACAGTGGACCTTCAGAGGTGATTCTTCAATTTTCAAAAACCCAGCATCAATCTATCTGAATGTATTATTGCTGGGAAAATGAAAACAGAAAAGGAACCCTGCACACGATGTCTTTACCCATAAATTCACTGCACACTAATATTACAGGTGTGGCATATTGTGGAAAGACCACACTATGGTTACTTCCCAGTGAAATCAATACAGGAATGGAACTCACATTCCTGGAGCAGGCTATGGAATTCTGTGCAGCCGGGCACTGCTGAATGGACCCAGCCTGAGGCCTCTAAAGAACACCATGAAGACCTGCAGCATCTCTAATACAACCAGTCCTCTTTTCTCAGAGCTGTTCTGAATTGTGCTGAAATGGGACCCAATAAATACACGATCAGTTCTCCCTCCACCGTTACTAGAACCTACACACAGGCCGTATAAACAACATGGATTTCATCAGTTTAGACCTCATCAGGTTCACTTCTGGCTTGTCCAAAAGGTCCCTTCCTCTCCTTATCTGTACCCCAAGTTTCTTCCCAGATTGCCTATCAGGTGAGCTTCTAGTTAGCCTGCCTAGAGAGCAAGGGAGTTTCTTTGTCGTTTGTCTTTCTTCATCGTCTCTATTTTCCTGTCAAACCTTGGAGTTCTGCATGAACTCCAGGAATAAATCCAGCCTGTGGATTTGTATTCCTGCTACATTCAGAGAAACTTCTCTAATGCCAACCCCCAGGATTCACAAACATTTTCTGACTCTTGCTTCTCCACCACACATCTGCCAGCTGGTAGACACTTCTGATATTGTTTACAATCTCTTGCATCTGCTCCCTGCCAAGTGTGCATGGCAATCCACTTCAAGCCCTATTTTATGCTCGTTGAACTTGGATTTTCCTTCCTGCCAAGATTAAAGTCCAGAATACCTCCTAGCTGCTTTCAGGTAGTTCTTATTTTTCTGAATGAAGGAAGTTGTTACAGAATTTTGTTTTTTGAAAACATGTGAAGCCAAGGAAATGAAAAGGAAGCATATGTTGAGAGAAAATATTTGCAAAAGGCCAAGTCTAGTTAATAAAGACTGTTACCCAAATGTGTAAAAAAAAAAGAAAAGAAAAGAAAAAACCCTCTCAAAGCTCAGCAATATAGAACATGACTAAAAAATGAGCCAAAGATCTCAACAGACACCTTAGCAGAAAATATATTCAGATGGGAAAAATATACATGTAAAAATGCTTCACATCGTTTGTCATCAGGGAAATGCAATTTAAAGCAACAATGAGGCACCGCCAATTAAAATGGCCAAGATTTAGATCACTGGCAATACCAAATGCTGGCAAGGATATGGATCAACAGGAGCTTTCTGTTGGCAATGGACATGCAAACTGAGACAGCCATTTCGAATGATGGTTAGACAGGCTCTCGGAAAATGGGACATAGTTTTACCATGTGAGCCAGTAGGCAACTTCCTTAGCATCTACCAAAACATATTCACACAAAAACCCTGTGGACAGATGTTTAGAAGTCCAGGTTGCTTACAGCCACTCTCTTCAAAGTGATCAAAACTCAGAAACAGCCAAGATGTTCTTCAGTAGTAAATAAACTACGGTACATGCCAACAATGGGTTATTCAGTTCTAAAAATAACTGAGCTGTCGAGTAATGGAAATTCACATCTGAAAATTAAATATATGTTAGTTAAGTAAAAGGAGCCAGTCAGAAAAGGCTACATACTGTAAATTCAAGGTTTCTTAGACTTTATATTGCTAGCCATTGCCTTAACTTGAGGAAAAGGCCTTCTATAATTTGCCTGTGGAAGGGGATGGATGAGAAGCATAAATTAAGGTTGGGAAGAAAGCTCATCTCACACTCTGGGTTGCAAGGGGCCATGGAAGGGGTGGACCCCAGAAAACATGCCATGTGTTGACCTTGCACTGCTGTGGTAGACACTGTGTTTCCTAGACAATGAGCAAGGTATAAATCAGTACCTGCTTCTGCATCTCAGGCCTAGCAGGTCTGAGTGTGCTTCTATCCAATAGAAACATTTTATGAGTTACTTCCATCTTGTAATTTCCCTCTACCCACATATGAAACCTAAAAGAGGGCTAGGTGTGGGTAACAGTGCTTCATCCAACACAAAAAGCACTCAAAAGTGCCTAGTTCAGTCCAGCTTCCTTTGGTTTTGACTCCAGCTTACGCCCCACATACAGGTGATGGTTTGGGTAATTATATTTCTGTTAACCACATGGTAGCAGTTCCTGGCTCTCAGTTTTGACCTGGTCTTTCCCCAGCTATTGTAGTCATTTGGGGGTGAATGGCAAAAAAAAAAGCAAATAGCTCTTTCTGTTTATCTTGGTCTCTCTGCTTTTTAAATATAATGAATTAAATATAATGAATTAAAAAGACTGAAAAGAAATAGACAGTGATAATGTAATAATACACATTTCTTGTCCCAGTATGTCCAGAATATTATGTTGACATGTGAACTATGTAAAAATTATTGTTGGAATAGTCCACATTCTTGACCATCACCATTAGATCTTTAAAATCTAGCTTGTATTTCCCATTTACAGTATATACTGTATCTTAATTTGGATGCTAAATTTTCACCAGAAGTGGTTGGCTTTTAATAATACTTAGCCAAATTGGCAGCCAAAAAATAGATTTATCTCCCCACATTTTCCCAGACTTTAAAAGCTTTAAAATAACTGTTTAGTGTTTGAATTTGTAAAGTAAAAATTCAGTTCCTCTTTGGTACTAAACACATTTCTTATACTGCATAGCTACGTGCTGAGAGGCTACCACATTAGACAATTGATAATTTGCCATGGATAAATTGAATAATCAGTATAAATAAGTCAAATTATGTGAGTTCACCCTGTTCCAGCTGAGTGGTAATTAAGTGACAGGGAAAAAAATCATTACCATGGGAAATTTGGTAACTAGGTAAATAAATGCTGAGGGTGCTATGCTGTGATAGGACTCAGTAAACAGTTTCTGCAGCTGTTGCTCTAAGGGACACACAGCGAATGGGTGTCAGGTGGAAAGAATTGGGTCAACGGGTGACCATTTCTTACCCTTTTCTAATATTCACAACTATAATAAACAGCCTCTTCATCATAGGAATGTTGTTTTTAAAAATCACATTTGTTTTCAGAGTTAGAATAAGTAAATATGCAGAACTACCCAATGGCATCATCTATTGTGGAAAATCAACTTATTTTTTTTTCTATGTTAAGACAATACTGTAAAGTAAGAAGAGAACAGTAATTTAACAAAAAGGAAACCCTTACAACAACAAAGTGCAGAATATCCTCTTCATTCAGCTCATTTTTCAGTTTTCGGAACAAAGTTTGCATTGCTTTGCAAGGTCCACACCAGGCTTGGTAAACATCGATCACTAGAAGATGATAATTTTAGGCAGGAACAGAGTCAAAAGATTCTGCCATTGTCACTTATTTCAATGCTGGGCCAGGGGTAATATCAAGGATGGCAGGGTTTCACATTCCAAGTGGGGAGCAGCACCCTGCAGAGGGGCCAACACCCTGAAAGTCCAGATGGAGAGGGCCCCATACCTGTCAGACCTTTGTTCTGCAGCATCTCATCCCACAGGCTCTGGCTATTGATGACCACCTGTAAAAAGGGAGGGCCTGTCAAACTTATCAAGTACCTGCCCAACACTAGATTCAGAAGTGTTGCTGTGCCATGCTCACCTGTAACTGAACTTCTCGCTTTTTGCTTGTCATTGGTCTACTCCAGTGTGAGAAAAGAAGAAAAATACAAAAAAAGTTCAGGAAGAATTATAAATTATTGTTTCTTTATGCATGAAGTAGGCATCTTCATACATGGTAGACATTTCCATTTGCTAGCTGTTGGAGGAGAGAGCAGATGACATCACAGACAGATCCCAGCATTCCAGACTCCATGCAAAATGTTGTCACAGTAGCTTAGACTCCCAGTCATCCTGAAGCAAGATAAGAACGTTAGGAGTTATACTCTAATTTAAAGAACCGTGTTTTCCCAAAGTTTTCCACAGCATTTCCTATTTTCATTGCATGTATATTAATTTGCAGTGAATACACTCCTGAATCCCTATTGGGATTTGCCCAATCCAGAGATATTTAATTTTTAGAACAAGGTCACTGATGTGTTCTGAAGCACAACACAAATTGTGAAGAGGTCTTAAATCAGTGAGGATAAAACTTCCATTCAATCATGTCCTAGATGATTTGACCTGACAGTTGATATTACAATCAAGCAAAGGAATGGCCACAAATGATATCCAGGTGCAGGTTCTGGATATTTTTTAAAAAGGAGACTTGAACAAACCATAAGGCTCTAAATGAGCTCCCTGGCTAAGGTCAGTAGCCATTGTGGGGTGAGTCTGCAAAACCCTGTGCCTTGGCGACAGACAGGGCCAAGGCTGGGGGCTGAAGCCAGTTGGGTTTTGGAGAGCATCCTTTCCACTCTAATCCAGTTAAAGCAAGAGGAAGAGGGATGTTGGGCCTGACAGGGAAAGCCAAGGACACCAACATCTTCACCTGAGACCTCCATGGACTTGTCTCAACACTCATGCCACAGCCACAAGGTACAATGCACGCATGAACGGCTGGCACTTGACATCCTCCACTTCTTCATCCACCATACTGAAGGGACAACCATGTCCTACTTCTACCTGTTCAGGAGCCCTCCCCTGCTTCAACAGCCTTCTGGGAACCCTCTCTGATAACCCTGTCTTGGTTCTCCCCATCAGCTCCCTGAGTTTTCAGGATGAGCATTCCAAGTTTAGACAAGTCCTCTCCTGTCTGGTCACACGTTTTAGCATGCAATGTTCATTGCTAAGATTGCAAAAGGATCTGCTCTGAATTCCAGTCCCAGAATAACTCTCTAACTTGTCTCCTGAATTAATAAATTAATGTAATCAATTGACTTACTTTCCGTGTAGAAATCTTTTTAGGCTTAACCAAAAAAGTTGCAAAATATAATACAGAAAACTCCCACACCCTCTCCAAAGATCTTCCCTAACCCCAGTGAAATTATCATGGAAACCAGGAAATTGACACTGATATAATCGAGGATTGTTCTGTGATCTTTAAATAAACCTTTGCAATGTTCTTACCAACAGCCTTATCTCTCATCCAGGATCCAGTGGAGAATCACACATTGCATTTAGTTGTCCTGCCACTTCCAACCTGACACAGGCCTGCAAGACCTTTGTTTTTGTAAACTTGACTTTTTATTAAAAAAAAATGTTATCCTGTTCTTTTCATATGAACACTATTTTCTACACTTGCATAAACATGCCTTTTAGCTTGTTCTACTTTCCATTGTACTTGGGACACAAGTCCTTTCCTTTTTAGGCCGTCTGACTCTCTTTAATAATGATTACTTGACTATTGGTATTTGTAATTTTGACTGGGGCACATCTTTATCAGGGATGACTTTTTAGCACGTAAGAGCTCTTGTACCTACCCTGCATACTGCTGCCTGACTCCTCCAATATCTAGGTACAAGGTCAGTTGTATATTAATGCTCAGCCTTATTGTATTATTTTACATAGAGAATTGAACTATCAATGAATGGTACAATCCTAGAAGGTGAGCACCTCACTGTGGCTTTATGATAAACACAACACATCTTAGATTCCCTGCACAGAGGTCCTTAAATCCTTGTAGTTTCCAAAGTGATGGAATTATGTTCCATTGTGTTATTTTGCCTTTTATCCCATTTCTTGAAAAAGCACTCCTAAATTCCTTGAAATTTCTTGGATAATAGAATTTTTTTTTTTTTTTGTTATCATGAAGCAACGTTAGCTGTTTTCCTAGATAGCCTGCAGATGTGGGTAGGGGTGGGACTGATCACAGCCAGACCATGATTAGAAGATTGGAACCCTCAGCTTCTCTTCTTCATTATCCAGAGACATGGTGTTGGAAGCCAGATGACATGTCTGTCATATCTAAATGATGATGCCTCCATGAGAACCCCTAATGTATGAAATTTATAGACCTTTCAAGTTGGGGAACATACCTTTGGGTCAAGAAGGCACTGTACCCCAAAGCCATGGGACCAGAATCTCCTGGGTTTCCTCATTTATCTTTATACCTGTAGCCTTTCTCATATTCTGTATCACAAATCCACAGTCTTAAGTAAATGTTTCCTTAAATTTTAGGAGCATGACAAATTATTGGACCTGAGGATGGGCCAGTGGAACTCCCAATTTTTAACTGCCTGGAACGAAAACGTGAGTAATTGGCAATAGTTAACTGCATTTGAGGTGCAGGAAATCCCGTGACACTGAGATCCGACCCTCAGGGTCTGTGGTCACTGAGGCTATTGGTGACATAGCGGAATTAAAGCATACCTGTCTAGTCTGGAGAATTGGTTGCTGCAGAAGAACTGAACATTTTGATGACCAGAGGTATTGTTCAGAATCAGCTATGAGGAGAGAGAGTTTTGTTTTTACTCACTAGTAATACTTTAGCCACATGGAATTCCATGTATCAATGCTGCTTTCTCTAAGCCACTGGGAGGCAGAGACAGGAGTTTCTAGTCCTCTTTCACAAATGGGCCTTGTATGCAAATACTTGAACATTGAGATTTTAAAATGTAGACACGATGGGCTTTGACTTCAGCTTGCACATAATTATCAGGACAGATGCACTCTGAAAACATTGCGTAGAAGAAAATGTATTCATACTATAACACTTGAGAGTTTGTGTTCTAAATGCCAAAGACTCTACAAGTGATGGTAGTTTTAGAGAGGCTGTGGTTGTTCTGTCCCTTGCGTGTATTTGACATTATGTTTCAAGATTCACTAAAGATGCTTCCTTTTCCATCAGCCTATTCTTACCGGGCTTTGAACACTATGTAGTATGTTCAGTTTCTTTCTTTGGGGCATAGGTTTTATCAGTGTCTAGATATTTTGTCTGTGTGTTCTCAGGACCCATAGAAGAAGACCTGGGTTACAGAATTATTTTTACTTTACTGTCTTGCTTATATAGTTCTCTCTGATAGCAATCATTAGCATTTGAACATAAAAATTCAAGAATTAGCTAAAGGTTTCCTACTGGGGAATAGAAAATATTCTAAACATTTATGAACTCTTTCATGAGGCAAAACAAAACTCCACTTTTTAAATTCAAGCAATCTGGTTCAGATAAGTAAATAGACTATTAGGAAACTAAGTGGTATCTAGAGACTTGAAGTTGGTAACTTCAGCTGTAGATAGAAGCACAATAGTGTTCTACAGAGGAGAACTTTATAGAACTTTCTATGTTTCTCCTCTTTTAGATAAAAAAAAAAAGTTGGATTCTGAATCCAATTTTTTAAAAAATCACCTGAATAATAATACCGGAGTAAATGCTCTCTTTTTCCATCAAATACTAAATTAAGGCAGTGAAAAAAATGAAAAGGTGTATTAAAAACTCATGCTGAAAAATCCTATTACACTGCAACCTCTTGGGAGCTGCAAGATGAATGAGATTGAATTGGGAAAATAATTCTGTGCAATTTCTAAATATAAGCAAATCGGATCACCTGAAATGAATCAGAAAGAGGCTTTGAGCATCTTGTATTGCCTCCTGGCTCAGAGAGTCAGAGCTGTAATAACCCAAAGCACTAGCCGCCCTTCTGCAACCCCTCCGGCACCAATTTGTAAGGCAATCAGATATTCTTTTCTGCCCTTCAATGTATTTTTTTTTCTGCATTTACTAAATAAGAAAGGCAAGTTTGGAACAGTGAAGAACTAGCTGTTGCCATTTGAGATCTATAATTAACAGTTACTGATAAATGTAACAACCAGTTCTCTAAGAAAAAGAATCTATACAATAAAACATTATACCTTCAACAGATATAAATGGTGTGTCAAATACAAGTGACAGATTATTATAAAATACACATATATTTCATATAGCCGATTATTTTTTATAAAGTGATTTCATTGTGTTTTGCCAAACTCAGGTCAGTAATCAATTTATACTTGTGATTTATTCATAATTTTTCAGGTTCAAAATATGAATAAATGTTTGTTCCTACCTATTCAGCAAAAAGTTGCTTGTATCATCAGTGAGCATTTAAAGTTCCCATTGGAATGTTAATGAGTTAAATAAACAAACAATGGCAATGTGTGTTGGAATTTTACCCACTCATCAATGACATGAAGAAAAATTTCTTGCTAAATCAGATAATAATTTGCAAACACTTGAAAAATATTTCTTTGTTTTGGGGATTTCTTTGATTCTTTGCTATTTAGAGTATAATAACAAGAGACACAAAACAGTTTTAAGCTTCAACTCTATTAACAATGAAACAATAAGTAAGCCCTGATTTGTAGCATTTGCAGATTTCTGTTGTGTAAGTGCCCCTACCATGGTCAATTTCAATTTCAACATATCACAGAACAAAAAAGAGATGCAACAAAGTGTTGCCCCCTGAATGTAAATATATGTAAATAGTCTCAAGGGCAAACAAGAGGAAAATGCAGTTAAAAATGAAGAATGTTCATTTTTGAGTTCAGATTCAAGTGCTATTATCTTTGCATAAAATATTATTCTACATTTTATGTCATCTATTTTTTAAAATGGTTGTGATTGCTTAATTCCTAAAAATTTAGCAGTCAGTTCTCATGAACTGATACAAGCAGGTTTAAAAACACCACTGGTTAATAATCTGAAATAAATTTACACAATAAAAAATACTAGGAAAGAATTGTTTGCAGTGTAAGGTAAGTACTACATAAGAATTCAAAATATTAGAGAGGCTAACACTAGGAAAGCACCAAATGTTTGCTATTTCCCTAATCTAATTGTTGAAATGCATTCATGTGGTAGCCATGTATAGATAAGTCAAGCCAGTAAAAACCCAGGACCTTTATTTTTTGTCAGGTAATAGATATATATATGAATAAAGAAATGCATGCATGCACACACAAATGACTTTTAACATAGCACCTTATGAAATGTTAAC